TGAAAAGCAAATCTTTCTACGAATAGAGTTGGAATGTGTTCTAGGGTCCCTTAGGCATCTTTCTAGCAAGTTTCAAGGAATTTCATTTTTTGGCCAAAATTGAAAAAAAATGCAAGGGGTTAGCCTTACATTTTTATCAAAATTTGGCCAAAAATTGACTTTTCTCAAAACAATGCAGGACTTCCTTTGGAAGTCAGAGGAGCACCAAACAATACTCAAACATCCAATATTTTGAAGATTTGGGCAAAAACCATCGATTTTGTGAGAAATAAATTAACATTTTTGACTGATTTTACCCCATATTTTGGTCCATATTTTCTGTTGAAAAGCAAATCTTTCTACGAATAGAGTTGGAATGTGTTCTAGGGTCCCTTAGGCATCTTTCTAGCAAGTTTCAAGGAATTTCATTTTTTGGCCAAAATTGAAAAAAAATGCAAGGGGTTAGCCTTACATTTTTATCAAAATTTGGCCAAAAATTGACTTTTCTCAAAACAATGCAGGACTTCCTTTGGAAGTCAGAGGAGCATCAAACAATACTCAAACATCCAATATTTTGAAGATTTGGGCAAAAACCATCGATTTTGTGAGAAATAAATTAACATTTTTGACTGATTTTACCCCATATTTTGGTCCATATTTTCTGTTGAAAAGCAAATCTTTCTACGAATAGAGTTGGAATGTGTTCTAGGGTCCCTTGGGCATCTTTTTAGCAAGTTTCAAGGAATTTCATTTTTTGGCCAAAATTGAAAAAAAATGCAAGGGGTTAGCCTTACATTTTTATCAAAATTTGGCCAAAAATTGACTTTTGTCAAAACAATGCAGGACTTCCTTTGGAAGTCAGAGGAGCACCAATCAATACTGAAACATCCAATATTTTGAAGATTTGGGCAAAAACCATCGATTTTGTGAGAAATAAATTAACATTTTTGACTGATTTTACCCCATATTTTGGTCCATATTTTCTGTTGAAAAGCAAATCTTTCTACGAATAGAGTTGGAATGTGTTCTAGGGTCCCTTGGGCATCTTTTTAGCAAGTTTCAAGGAATTTCATTTTTTGGCCAAAATTGAAAAAAAATGCAAGGGGTTAGCCTTACATTTTTATCAAAATTTGGCCAAAAATTGACTTTTCTCAAAACAATGCAGGACTTCCTTTGGAAGTCAGAGGAGCACCAATCAATACTCAAACATCCAATATTTTGAAGATTTGGGCAAAAACCATCGATTTTGTGAGAAATAAATTAACATTTTTGACTGATTTTACCCCATATTTTGGTCCATATTTTCAGTTGAAAAGCAAATCTTTCTACGAATAGAGTTGGAATGTGTTCTAGGGTCCCTTAGGCATCTTTCTAGCAAGTTTCAAGGAATTTCATTTTTTGGCCAAAATTGAAAAAAAATGCAAGGGGTTAGCCTTACATTTTTATCAAAATTTGGCCAAAAATTGACTTTTCTCAAAACAATGCAGGACTTCCTTTGGAAGTCAGAGGAGCACCAAACAATACTCAAACATCCAATATTTTGAAGATTTGGGCAAAAACCATCGATTTTGTGAGAAATAAATTAACATTTTTGACTGATTTTACCCCATATTTTGGTCCATATTTTCTGTTGAAAAGCAAATCTTTCTACGAATAGAGTTGGAATGTGTTCTAGGGTCCCTTAGGCATCTTTCTAGCAAGTTTCAAGGAATTTCATTTTTTGGCCAAAATTGAAAAAAAATGCAAGGGGTTAGCCTTACATTTTTATCAAAATTTGGCCAAAAATTGACTTTTCTCAAAACAATGCAGGACTTCCTTTGGAAGTCAGAGGAGCATCAAACAATACTCAAACATCCAATATTTTGAAGATTTGGGCAAAAACCATCGATTTTGTGAGAAATAAATTAACATTTTTGACTGATTTTACCCCATATTTTGGTCCATATTTTCTGTTGAAAAGCAAATCTTTCTACGAATAGAGTTGGAATGTGTTCTAGGGTCCCTTGGGCATCTTTTTAGCAAGTTTCAAGGAATTTCATTTTTTGGCCAAAATTGAAAAAAAATGCAAGGGGTTAGCCTTACATTTTTATCAAAATTTGGCCAAAAATTGACTTTTGTCAAAACAATGCAGGACTTCCTTTGGAAGTCAGAGGAGCACCAATCAATACTGAAACATCCAATATTTTGAAGATTTGGGCAAAAACCATCGATTTTGTGAGAAATAAATTAACATTTTTGACTGATTTTACCCCATATTTTGGTCCATATTTTCTGTTGAAAAGCAAATCTTTCTACGAATAGAGTTGGAATGTGTTCTAGGGTCCCTTGGGCATCTTTTTAGCAAGTTTCAAGGAATTTCATTTTTTGGCCAAAATTGAAAAAAAATGCAAGGGGTTAGCCTTACATTTTTATCAAAATTTGGCCAAAAATTGACTTTTCTCAAAACAATGCATAACTTCCTTTGGAAGTCAGAGGAGCACCAAACAATACTCAAACATCCAATATTTTGAAGATTTGGGCAAAAACCATCGATTTGTGAGAAATAAATTAACATTTTTGACTGATTTTACCCCATATTTTGGTCCATATTTTCTGTTGAAAAGCAAATCTTTCTACGAATAGAGTTGGAATGTGTTCTAGGGTCCTTTAGGCATCTTTCTAGCAAGTTTCAAGGAATTTCATTTTTTGGCCAAAATTGAAAAAAAATGCAAGGGGTTAGCCTTACATTTTTATCCAAATTTGGCCAAAAACTGACTTTTCTCAAAACAATGCAGAACTTCCTCTGGAAGTCAGAGGAGCACCAAACAATACTCAAACATCCAATATTTTGAAGATTTGGGCAAAAACCATCGATTTTGTGAGAAATAAATTAACATTTTTGACTGATTTTACCCCATATTTTGGTCCAAATTTTCTTTTGAAAAGCAAATCTTTCTACAAATAGAGTTGGAATGTTTTCTAGTGTCCCTAAAGAATCTTTGTAGCAAGTTTCAAGGAATTTCATTTTTTGGTCAAAATTGAAAAAAAAAGCAAGGGGTTAGCCTTACATTTTTATCAAAATTTGGCCAAAAATTGACTTTTCTCAAAACAATGCAGAACTTCCTTTGGAAGTCAGAGGAGCACCAATCAATACTCAAAGATTCAATATTTTGAAGATTTGGACAAAAACCAGCAGAAAAAAAATAACAGTTGTGACTTATTCATTTATTTATAGTTACTCGACATTTTCGTCGAAATTCTATTCTGAAAAGCACGTCTCCCCAGTACTGGAATCGGGTCGTGATGTACGGTCCCTTAGGCATCTTACCTAGAAATTGGAAACAATTCATTTTTTTGGGCCAAAATTGAGAAAAAAACGCAAGGCGTTGGCCTAACATTATTAATAACAGTTGGAGAGAAATTTGACTTTTATCGGAAGGTAAGGGGAGAATATATCATGAGTTGGTCGCTAATGATGGTATCCTGTAGAACAGAATGGACAAAAAAAAAAAAAACCACAAATTGTTATTTATTTCAATGCATAACTTTAATTCATATAACTTTTTATTGAGTTTGCAATTGAACCCCAGATAATTGAAAGACAATTTTTTGCTTTAAAATGAACTGATGCACTGCACAATAATTTCAGCAAACAATTTCACGAATGGCAAATAAGAAAGGTAAAAGCAAATGTTTTGGCATTAAACAGATCATAGAACTGCTCTGAACAGTATCATTTAACAGTTTTCAGGCAAGTTATTAGCTTAATTCCTTGTTGGAAATATTACTAGATACACAGCAAATGGGTAGTTTACAATAAATCTAAAAGGGTTAGTCGGTAATGAATTTAACTGAATGAGAAAGAAATATCACAAGTGCGCCTTTAATTTCACATACCTTTAGTTTGGAATGTGCATTTATAATCAATACATCCTGTATATTAAAAAATGCGAATATGTTGTTAGTTTTTATTATTGCTAAAATCAAATAGTACATTTACATTTTCAAACATGAATTATACACACATTTCCTTTAAAGAAATGAAATCTACTTCAATTTTGCAGATTCAAAAAAATAAGAAGAGGCTTCGGTTAATCGCGCTTCAAAACTATTTATTTTTTTTGCAGGAACAAGCGATTATAATCAGTTTTGTCCTTGAGCAGGATATATGACCACAATAAGCAAAGTCTTCAAGCTTTCACTTGTGTAAAGCAAGCATAAAATGTGCAAAGTATCTAAGGCAGTTATACATTAAATGGTAGTTACCAGTGGAATAATAGCAGGAGAAATCCCGCAAAATTGAAAGTCCCAAAGAAAAAAAGAGATTGTTTCAATAACAAGCCTTTGATTGGTCACTGCAAATACGATCATTACTCTTTTTTTCTCAAACATTTGAAGGTATGATGGAAAAAGTCAATTTGAGAATATTTACAATACGGACTTCATTTCCTCAACTGGCTGATATCGCCAAAAATCTGAAAAATGATAATATCAATTAAAGATTCTTATATTTTAATCCTGCATTAAAGGGAATGTACATCATTGGCTTTTGCTGTAATTTTCAGAAATGAACTACTTGAAGGGTTAGTATAATAGATAAAAATATTGTAACACTGCCATGTTTGAAGATTTGTGTTCGAAAATGCTGGAAAACTCCCAAGAAAAACGAATTTTTTTCAAGTAGTCTGGTTCCCTGACTCCACTAAGGATAAAATGGATCAATTTATAGATGCCGGAAAATTGTAAGGTAAGGGAACCAGTGTAGCTGGCCTGCACCCGTTCATGAACATGTTACCAATAGCAAATAAAATTTGGACTGAAAAAATGGTAAATTTGAAGCAGAAGTTGAAAAATAGTTAGGTTTTTCCAACGGTGATCGGCCGACCACTGTTGGAAATGTATACAAAAATACCAATTTCTTGAAAATGACTTCACACCAGGAGCCATAATTTTACAGAATGCTTTTGACTGTCATTTACCAACATCCAAGTAAGTTATTTCGTAAAAACTTGATAGTTTTATTTTTCGATGTTTGCAAATGTTGTATATTCCCTTTAAACAGTGATGTAGACATAAGCCGGTTGCAAGATTGTATTCCATTCCAGTTTAGGATTTTGACACTTAAAGTGTAATTTGAATCCGTACTTTCTCAAATTTCACTCACTTTTTTTCGTCCTGTTGGGGAGTTCCAGGGTAGTGCCCCTCGGCTGGGGGGAGGCTCGTCTTGGGTCGGGGGATTACCCGCTTGGTGCGGGGAATGCCCTCCCAGGGGTTGGGGCTATGAGGCGGGGAATAACTCTCCTGGGATGAAGGATCACTCCCCTGGGGTAGGGGATTACTCCCCTGGGGTGGGGGATCACTCCCCTGGGGTGGTGGATCACTCCCCTGGGGTGGGGGATCACTCCCGTGGGGTGGGGGATCACTCCCCTGGGTGGGGGATAACCGCCCTCGGTACTTGGGTGACAGCTACCCTGGGGTTGGTAATTACTCCCCTGTGGTGAGGGATAACCCCCTTGGGGGGAGAGATAACCCCCCTGGGGTGGTGGATAGCTCCCCTGGGGAGGGGAATAACTCTCCCAGGTCGAGGGATTACTCCCCTGGGATGTGGGATTGGTCGAGGGATTACTTCCCCGGGCTGAGGGACTATTGATACGGGCTGGTGGGTTACTCCTCTGGAGTGGGAGATACCCCCCCTGAGGTGGGGGATTGCTCCCCTGGGATGGAGATGGGTAGCTCCCCTCGGGTGGATGAGTACTCCCCTGGGGTAAGCGATTACTCTCATGGGGTGTAGGATTACTCCCCTGGGGTGGGGGGTAGCTCTTCTGTGATTGGGGATAATTCCCCTGGGGTGGGGTTTGTCCAGGGTGAGGGGGCGTGACACACCCAACGGCTCCGACAGCCTGCATGATTTTACGCTGGAAGAACATGAGGACCTTCATGGCCACTTTCATTGGGGTCATTGATATGATGTAGCTCTCGGGTGATTGCACGAGGCAGGCTAGCTCCCAGCCCCGCTGGCCCATCTCAACCACCACGGAGTCCCAATTGGTCTTGGCTCGGGTGCCACCACTATATGAGACCTGCAAAAAATGAAAAAGAATTGATCAGCTTCAGGGCTCATTTAAATTGTATGGTCAGGTACTAATTTGGTTTAAAGGGTATGGTGTAATTAAAGTTAGAGTACTAACTTAAAACTTGGTATTATAAGAGGTCAGGGTATATACTGATAATATTTTATCTCTTTTAATGTAAATAGTTAGACTTCAGTTCTATTTAAGGTCAAATACTGATTGAGACTATGCATGGTGACATTGAGGTAAGGTGTGAGTCTAGAATTGGTGTCATTATAGGTCAAGTACTAACCGCCCATTTGTGTTCGTATTCCACAATGGTCCCTTCCCATTCTTGAACCTCGCCGTGCATCTTAGATTCTTCCTTCTCAAAGAACCAGATGGAGTTTAGAGTCGAACGCTCCGACAGGAAACCTGAAAATAGGGTGGGGGAATTGAATTACATATTAAAAAAAAATTAACATTTTAAATTCTTTTCAACATTTTCAGGTCATACTGAGACATATACATTTAAGATTGGTTCGGCAATGGACATGGTGGGCAGGGAAAGGGGAAAAGAGGTAGGCAAGAGTAGGGCAAGGGGTGGGGCACGAGGTGGGGCAAGGGGTGGGGCAAGGGGTGGGGCAGGTGATGGGATGAGCAATAGAGATATCTTTGTCTTTAAGCTTTGTCAAACTTAAACACTTTAAGTAATATGTGCAGGCAGGTTTAATGGCAAAATGGTCAGTTGTAAAAGGGATCATTCTATGAATTTGGAGTCCGCTTTTGTTTTTCCTGTCCCTATTACACCTAACACCTATGATTTGATAATTCTGATGCACTCCTTAAATGTAGTTTTACCCCAAAAATGATTATGAGTAGCAAACCACCTTTCAAACAAATAAAAAAAAATTGTGTGAAGCCTTTCTTAATGATACGTGAATGCCAAAGTTTGACCCTAAATTTATAGAACCACGCAGAGAAGCCACATGTATCTGCCAATAGTTCTCCTTCTGTTTATGCTTTACCTTTGGACGTTTCGGAACAGTCAAAATTGATCTCCACTAGTTTCCAGCCCCTCTCTAAGAAAGCGTTAAATTGGCCAATGAAGTCGGAAGGGTACACCTTGATGTGCGACATCTTTAGTTTGAACTTCACCGGTACGCTGATGACCTGGTAGACGTAGATCTGTGGGTTCGGGTGCAGCGGCATGTTGAAGAATAGATCCACACCTTGCACTGAAGAATATTTAGCAAGAGGCAAAAACAACTTAGACAATTGCTTGCCAATAATCTTTGGCAGACCAGAAAGTCTCATTTTAGGACATTATACAGGGTGAGTCAAAAAACGCGGAACCCAAACCCCCAAATTATATTTCATATTTGAAACACTTTTGGATGACAAAAATACTGAAATTGGTCAATCCGTTCTAAAAAAATCATCATTTAAACACAATGACCCTTAAACCTGTCTCGTCCAAAAAAAATGCGTTTTCAACAATCGTCGTCACAATTGTCTTCAAACATCACCAGCGATGAAATCTTAGTTTAAACATTAACAATATGCAACAAAGTCCTTTTGAAGGCCCGTCTTTTAAAAAATAAATCATATTGTTTGCCTAACCAGGGTTGTTAATCAAAATATTGTGTGCTACAGTTGGTGACAGTTGTTGAAACAAGTATTCCGTGTCATTTTCTTTGTTGTTCCAAACAGTCAAAACAAACAATACATTTATTTTTTGGACGAGACAGGTTTTAGGGTCATTGCGTTTAAATGGTGATATTCTTTGAACGGATTGAGCAATTTCAGTAATTTTTTTTCATCTAAAAGTAGCTTTTTACATTGGCTTTCCAGTCATTATTATTTTTGGTGCTACACATTTTTTAAATATGAAATACATTTTTGGGGGTTTGGGTTCCGCTTATTTTGGACTCACCCTGTATATGCTCAATGACGCAGTCGGTCAGTCAGTCAGTCGGTCAGTCAGCCAGATGACAAAAGGTTTGCTTTTTGGGGGGTCCAAGACAGAAATTGATTCATAAGCAGAGAGTTACAATGTAGAGCCCAGGAGTGGGAACATGTAAGATCAGCCCAAAGTTTCAGGTATGGTTTTAAACAAATGCTCAAAAAATGTAATAGTTGAGGAATTTCAAAACTTAAATTTTGATTTGATATTTTTGATTTACCATTGCTTCGGACGTATCCCCCTTTAAAAGACCTCCAACACAACTAGGGCTGGATCATAGCTCAGTTGGTAGAGCATTGATATGGTTTTCAAGAGGTTACAGGTTCTGATATTTACGCGTTCTGATATTTATGTTAATATTGTGCTGAGCCAGGTTCCTTGGTATTTTTTAAACGATTAATTTTGAATGTTGAGAAAAAGCAGCAGTCACATATCATTGGTATTTTCAATATGTAATGTACAGTGCGCTTACTTCCCGGGGTTCCTGACATTAGCACGCTGAACTCTTTGCCTTCATGGTGACCAGTCATTTCGACGCATACCAAGCGCCCGCCCTGCGATGTAAGTGCGTTTATCTAGTGGATCGCAAAACAGAACATTATCATCATTTAATTCTACAAGTGGCACATAAATTGACATTTGACTTGCACGGATAATGAAGTTTTACAGGCTGTTAAAAGACAACTAATAGTCAGGAGGCTTAGACCCAATATTTGACAAGATCGTGACCAACTGGTCCAAAGCACCAAACTTGGCAAATATGTTGTTATAGCCTTAGAGAAGATATTTTGAAGGGGTGACACCTGAAATTGTTTTGTGAAGGGTGCCTAATTTGCATAAATCGTTAATCCCTAATGTGTAATACATTATGAAGTTGGTCCACCCTCATCTGTGCAAGTTGGCACATACAGATATTTTTTTTTCACTTGGTTTCCTGGTATGTGTTGACATAATTCAATGATGATGATGCCACTTCAAGGTTGAGGGGAGGCATGTGACATGCGCCCTCTACGTCGCTAGCGGTGCAAATAGGTTGAAAATACCAAAAGCGAGTATTTAGGCCTACATCATCATCTAGTGGTCGCAACGGGGATCTCGTTCACAACGCCTCGCCATACTTTGCTCTATTTATTCGCATGCATGCACGTGTGCTGCAGGAGTCTGCGTGTGCGTTGTTGATTTGATTTTCTCAATACATGCACATGTTTTGATAAAACCGAAATTCATAGGAATAACGACCCACACCAGTTGAAACGATATTTGCGCAGTGTTCATCGTGGGGCACAACGTTGTCGGTTTGTGCTGCCGCAGTTTGCGTCGATTAATGAGAAGCGGTCACAATCGGTTAATATAATTATGTAACGTTGTAATGGCATATAGTTGTCTCTAGACTCGGTACTTCCCTGGCACCGCATTTACATTGCTAGCACATGTACCCGGTTCAAAATAACCTGGGACCATTTTTTTGTTATTATAAATTGATAAACAATATCAAAACTTTACAAATTTAGTAAATTATTATTAGCTTTATGCCATTTATGTTAGCACAGATTATACACCGTCTGGGACTCACCAAAGCTAAGCATGTGTCAAAGTGTGCGTCTGTATTTTCGACTTTCCTGCCTATTCTTTTCCCCTCATGATAGTCAGGTGGCTTAGACCCAATTTTTGATAAGATCGTGACCAACTGGTTTAAATCACCAAACTTGGCAGATATGTTGTTATAGCCTTAGAGAAGATATTTAGAAGGGGTGACCCTGAAATTCTTTTGGGAAGAGTGCCTAATTTGCATAAATCATTAATCCCTACCGTGTAATACATTTATTCCCATATTTGAGTACATTTTTTTTTTGTTTTTTTTTTGAAAATTATATTTTGGGGATTCCACTTACACATCCTTACGTCAATAACATGTTCTAAAACATTTAAGACTGACTGGATAATTATGAGACGATTCAAAATGGCTACTATTATACTCTAAAGTTGCGCTCATTAACCTTGTCTTCAGATATCATCAAGTAGTCTTGCCAAATAGTATTAATGAGCTTCAAATTCATCAAGTTACTTATTGGCACAGTTACTCGATTAAGACTTCATGGAAAATCATGTGGACAATGATAACATTGTGATATTTAGCCAAGAACACAAAAACGGGGAGCCCCTTCTAAACATTCTCTGGGGCTATAAGAATCTATCTGACAAGTTTGGTGCTTTGGACCAGTCGGTCAAGATTCCAACCGTATGCAACCTGACTATAAGAATTCATTACCTATTAGACCTCACATCAAACTTATAAATATTTGTGTGCATCTGATGATCAGACACACAAATTTGCTAGATAAAACAAAAACAATGGAAGCAGCAAACCTACATGTATAGCCTAATATATTCTTAGAGGCCATTAGCGTTGCAGCAGTTTTCCATTTAGCATCTATATTGGGCCAAATGTCATGCAATTGGTATGCAAAAAAAGGACGCTTATTAAAATAAATGTTTGTTCACCAAAAATTATTTTAGAACCAGTACAATCAAATATTAAAATAAATGTTTCTTCACCAACAATTGTTTTAGAACCAGTACAATCAATTTATAACATATACACTCAGATTTGTAACGACTCGAGTCAATGACTCGACTTGATTCACACTATTTGACTCGAGTCTTAACGAGCAACTGACTCGACTCGAATAACTGCGAATCAGATAATCCAAAAATTAATCAGATATCCAAAACATAAATATTCAAAGAACTCAAGTCACGTGGCATTGCCACTTGCTTCAAACCGCGTGCAACACCTTACGGGGGAAAGTAGTTCAAGTGAAAGACAGACAGCCCAAAGATACACGTTCCAACGTGGTATACGGGATCATCTGCGGGGATAAAGACTGCTCGGAGTCTTACGTTGGGGAAACCAAACAATCCCTAAAATCCAGGACCTACCAACATCGGCGGCCTAGCACAAACGAGGCACAAAACTCTGCTGTCTTCTTACACCTACGAGACTCTGGTCACACTCTCAGAAATGAGGATGTTGTGATCCTTGATAAGGAAGAGCAGTGGCACAAAAGAGGCATCAAGGAAGCCATCTGGGAAGGGTCGAACAACCAACACTCAACAAAAGAGGGGGGCTACGCTTCAACCTTTCACATGCATGGGACCGGGCCATTCAAGGGATTCCTAGCCGTCTCTCACGTGACCAGTCCACCGGATCACCAGTTGCCTGACGAAGTCCGATGGTTTCGGACGCAACGTCGCACAGTTGCAAAAATTAAGTAAGTTCCAGTATTTGATTCAATTAAGAAAAATCATCAACTACTACTGGATGACTGATAACATACATTATAAATATTCAAAGATCACGTTCTTTGCAAAAAGGCAAATGTTTAAGGGTTGAATTTTTGGTCAGGTACCCTGCACTTGATAAGCCAAAATCTCTTCCAATTAGCGAAATTGTGTGCTTATAGCATCTCGCGTACATACCTTCTGGTGTATGTCCGAGGTGTCCGACAGTGTGTTTGATGACGAGAAAAACTTTATGATCGTCTGTGTCTCTAGGAAACTTTTCTCAACCCGCAGCTGCCATCGCTCCTGAGACGGTGGTCTGAAGGGAAAAGAGGGGAGAACGATCAATCAAAAGAGGGGAAAATCAAATTACATGCTTAAAAACTCTTTGCATAATTACATCTATGATCAAAATGTAAAAAAAAAAAAAAAAACACCCAAAGTTGGGACCATACTTTACTTGCACATACAAAACATGCACTTGTAATAATAATAATAATTTGGGAGGCTAATCATCCTTACTCACAGCTGGTATGCTGAATTGCGAAGCACGCGGCTACAACGTGGTCGGGCCGCTGGCACGTAAAGGCGCCTATGGCTGCCGGCCACATCGACCCATATCTGACCACGGAGCACAGCCTGAGACCGAAAGTGTTTGATATTTCCGGAGGGAGGAAAACCGGAGGGCCCGGAGAAAAACCCTCGAGGCACAGGAGAGAACCAATGCACAACTCTATTCACATGCGATTCGCGGCCAGGATTCGAACCGTGGTCACCTTAATGAGAGGCGAGCGCGTTACGCACAAGTCACCCATGTCACCACTTGATATAATACTTACGCGCTGATAGGTCGCGACAGGATAGCCTGGAATGTCTTAAAGGAAGTTAAGCTGAATTCTTTTTCCTTCAAGGCACCAGGGATGGACTGGAACTGGTTCATGAGAAATCCATGAGTGTAGGGCTGGGAGATCACGTCATAGTACTCATCGATGTTTGTCTTGATGAGTCGGGCTAACGAAAGTTGAACTGCAAGAAGGAAAGCACATATTTCTAGTTCTCAAAAAGAACCTAATTCTTATAACTTCAACCTGAAAATAGTAATGTTTTTCCCGTTTCTGGGTTCCTCAAAAGTGCCCTAGGCACTGAAGCTCGAAAGCCTGAAGAAAGGGTGAGTTATAGTGCCCATAACAGGTGCACACCCCAACGTTCGTTACTAACCAACTAACTAACTAATACACATACAGACTAATGGAGATACATGAGTATTTGTAGAGCTGCTATCCGCAGCTAGAAATACTGCAGTCGATGCATGAAGCCCCGTCAGAAGCAAAATTACCAGGGCGTAAGGGACGGGTAATTTATATCCATGCAAGACAGCACTGGAACGTTTGTTACTAACTAACAGAGAAACACGACGACATGTTTAGCTGCTCAGTGTCCGCAGCTTAAAATAAAAGCCATCAGTTTGAGTATATAAACCTGTTAATGTTACCAGCAGCTTACCTTTAGCTTTCAGTTTAGCCTCGATGTTGACAAAACAGTACTCCAATGGACTACCTGCGTACGGCACGGGGTCGTCGGGGAAGCCGCTATGAGCGCCGACATGCACGCCTTCCGGGGTAACTGTTTTTGGAGTAGCATATTTGGGCCGCGATTCGTCGTTGCCCATTCTGGAAGATAGCTCAGCTGAAGTCTCTAAATCAAAGACTAGTGTGGGAAAATAAGCAAAATAACAATGATGCAATAATGAATATGAAATGACAAATATCAAGTTCACCTAATGTTGATACTGCTTTACATAATCTCACATGGAAAACCCTGTTATACAAACTACAATCTCGCGTTCGCTGGTTTCAACTGGTTCCAACTGGTTTCAACTGCATGGTTTCTAATGGTTTCAACTGGTTTCAACTGGTTTCAACTAGTTTCAACTGGTACCAGTTTAACTGGGAATTGGTGACTGGTTTTAACTAGTTTTGAACAGTTTGAACTGGTACAAGTGGCTTTGGACCACTTTGACCAGTTCAAAACCAGTTTAAACCAGTCACCAATTTCCAGTTGAAATGGAAATTTTCTCCTGGGATTTCAGCCGGCAAACAAACCACGCCCCTCGAAGGTCCAATTTCAGTCGAGCAAAGACAAAACCGGTCGGGTAAGTGTATAGTTTTGGAACGCCAAACGTACCAATTTATGATGATGTTACCGGGTAAACGTAATTTGATGATGTTGTCAATCTATTATGTGATATAGTCAATCCATTATGTGATGTCGTCAATGCATTATGTGATGTAGTCAATGCATTATGTGATGTAGTCAATGCATTATGTGATGTCGTCAATCTATTATGTGGTGTCATAATGCATTGACTACATCACATAATGCATTGACTACATCATCAAATTACGTTTACCCGGTAACATCATTAATTGGTACGTTTGGCGTTCCACGTATTTAGTTATTAAGTTAATCACACAACAACTTCAAATAGCTCACCTCCACTGGGGTAAAAAGATGGCGTCAGTATATATCCTTTACTCTATAGCACTAGCTGTTGTCACATTCATCATTCGGCATATATTCCAGTGTACTGATCAGTGTCAGTGATGTAGAAATGTTAAAGTCCACAATCCTTTTGTTTACCGACATGTATAATTATGATAAATATACCCGTTTGTTTACATGTTTGTTTGTTCAAGTTTAAAGTACAGTGGGGCAACCAGCCCGAGAAGTACGAGGGTACACCACATAAGTCTGTAAATTCCTGCGCGCAACTCGGAGTAATGTTTTGTGATCCCACAGATATTATGTATACTCCTTGCGGCCTATACTTGGAACACTGTATAAATATTTCTGGAAATCAAGCGTTCATGACTTGTAGCTTCCAAATCGGGGATTTGTGACACCCCCCCCCGGCCCCGCAAAGTCTGGATCTATTTAGCATTATACATGTACATGTATGGAGGCGGAGGTCTACATCTAGATATGGGCTTGGCAAACATCGTTTTCGGGGGAGGGGCATATAAACAACAGTTGAATCGTGCCATATTTTCAATGGGGAGCGCAGATAAAATCCTATATATATATTAACTAAATTATTTAATTAATTATTAATTATTATATAATTCATTATTAACTATATTAACTAAAAGTATACAAATGCACCCTTCTCGAGACTATTTACTTAGGGGAGACTGTTCGCGTGTACGTCACACGCTTACATTTTGCTAGTGCAATTGTTTTTCTATGGAATTTGTTTGTTTGTTTGGGGTGGTTTTTTTTGGGGGGGGGGGGCTGCTAGACAAAATTTCTGGGGGGGCTTAAGCTCCCCCCCCCCGTAGAACCGCAATTGCCCGACTAGCTTACAATAACAGTCTACCCGACAAATTTAACACAATCGGCAACATATCCTACGACACCCCTTTTCTTTGAATATTTTGACTCATGAATTATTCATTCGGTTTTATTTCTTGCTCATGCTGCAATAATATCGTATTGGTCAAGTAATAAAAAAAAACATATTTTGCATCCAGTACCAAACTTAAGTTCAGAGTGAGTAAAAAAAAAGTGACCGAATTAAAAAAAATCTTTTAACAACTTTCGGTTGCCCCATTTCATACAAATGACACATGATAGAGTTGAGTATTATGTGATTGACTAGTAACTGTGTGAATTGCACATAATTTGCATACTCTATTTCCGAGTTATGTCTATTTTAATAAAAAAGATCACAAAATGCAGCTATCCACAATAGATCGTGAACCGTTTACAAACTGATGCACACCATTAAATACAATGAAACATGGACGTTTTCCCACCTCAATGAACGAAACAAAACTTTAAAGGAAAAACAGACAAAAAAAATCGGTATCAGCATTGTGTGAGAAATAAATTAACATTTTCGACTGATTTTACCCCATATTTTGGTCCAAATTTTCTTTTCAAAAGCATATCTTTCTACAAATGGAGTTGGAATGTGTTCTAAGGTCCCTAAAGCATCTTTCTAGAAAGTTTCAAGGAATTTCATTTTTTGGTCAAAATTGAAAAAAATGCAAGGGGTTAGCCTTACATTTTTATCAAAATTTGGCCAAAAAATGACTTTTCTCAAAACAATGCAGAACTTCCTTTGGAAGTCAGAGGAGCACCAATCAATACTCAAACATCTAATATTTTGAAGATTTGGGCAAAAACCATCGATTTTGTGAGAAATAAATTAACATTTTTGACTGATTTTACCCCATATTTTGGTCCAAATCTTCTTTTCAAAAGCAAATCTTTCTACAAATGGAGTTGGAATGTGTTGTAACGTCCCTTAGGCATCTTTTTAGCAAGTTTCAAGGAATTTCATTTTTTGGTCAAAATTGAAAAAAAATGCAAGGGGTTAGCCTTACATTTTTATCAAAATTGGGCCAAAAATTTACTTTTCTTAAAACAATGCAGAACTTCCTTTAAAAGTCAGAGGAGCACCAATCAATACTCAAACATTCAATATTTTGAAGATTTGGACAAAAACCAGCGATTGTGTGAGAAAAAAATTGTGAGAGAAATTTGACTTTTATCCGAAGGTAAGGGGAGAATATATCATGAGTTGGTCGCTAATGATGGTATCCTGTAGAACAGAATGGACAAACAAAAATACAAAATCCACAAATTGTGATTTATTTCAATGCATAACTTTAATTCATATAACTTTTCATTGAGTTTGCAATTGAAACTGAGACATTTCAAAGAAAATTTTTGCTTTAAAATGAACTGATGCACTGCACAATAATTTCAGCAAACAATTTCACGAATGGCAAAAAAGAAAGGTAAAAGCAAATGTTTTGGCATTAAACAGATTATAGAACTGCTCTGAAACAGTATCATTAAACAGTTTTCAGGCAAGTTATAAGCTTAATTCCTTGTTGGAAATATTACTAGATACACAGCAAATGGGTAATTCACAATAAATCTAAAAGGGTTAGTCGGTAATGAATTTAACTGAATGAGAAAGAAATATCACAAGTGCGCCTTTAATTTCACATACCTTTAGTTAAGAATGTGCGTAATAGGTATGTATAATCAATACATCCTGTATATTAAAAAATACGAATATGTTGTTAGTTTTAATTATTGCTTACTAAATCAAATAGTACATTTACATTTTTCAAACATGAATTAAACACATATTTCCTTTACAGAAATGAAATCTACTTCAATTTTGCAGATTCAAAAAAATAAGAAGAGGCTTCGGTTAATCGCGCTTCAGAACTGTTTTTTTTTTTGCTGGAACAAGCGATTATATTCAGTTTTGTCCTTGAGCAGGATATATGACCACAATAAGCAAAGTCTTCAAGCTTTCACTTGTGTAAAGCAAGCATAAAATGTGCAAAGTATCTAAAGCAGTTATACATTAAATGGTAGTTACCAGTGGAATAATAGCAGGAGAAATCCCGCAAAGTTGAACGTCCCAAAGAAAAAAGGAGATTGTTGCAATAACAAGCCTTTGATTGGTCACTGCAAATACGATCATTACTCTTTTTTCTCAAACATTTGAAGGTATGATGGAAATAGTCGATTTTGAGAATATTTACAATACAGACTTCATTTCCTCAACTGGCTGATATCGCCAAAAATCTGAAAAATGATAGTATGAATTAAAGATTCTTATATTTTAATACTGCATTAAACAGTGATGTAGACATAAGCCGGTTGCAAGATTGTATTCCATTCCAGAGTTAAAGATTTTGACACTTTATGTGTAATTTGAATCCGTACTTTCTCAAAGTTCACTCACTTTTTTTCGTCCTGTTGGGGAGTTCCAGGGTAGTGCCCCTCGGCTGGGGGGAGGCTCACCTTGGGTCGGGGGATTACCCACTTGGTGCGGGGAATGCCCTCCCAGGGGTTGGGGCTATGAGGCGGGGAATAACTCTCCTGGGATGAAGGATCACTCCCCTGGGGTAGGGGATCACTCCCCTGGGGTGGGGGATTACTCCCCTGGGATGGGGGATCACTCCCCGTGGCTGGGGGATAACCGCCCTGGGTACTTGGGTGACAGCTACCCACGGGTTGGTAAATACTCCCCTGGGGTGGGGAATTACTCTCTTGGGCCAAGGGCCTACTCCCTTTGGGTGGGGGATTACTCCCCTGGGATAAGGGGTTATTACTCCCCAGGGGTGAGGGATTACCCCCTTGGGTTGAGGGATTACTCCCCACGGTTGGGGGATAGCCCCCCTGGGTACGTGGGTAAAAGCTCCCCTGAGATTGGTGAATATTCCCCTGGGGCAGGGAATAACTGTCACGGGTCAAGGGCCTACTCCCTTTGGGTGGGTGATTACTCCCCTGGGGTAAGGGATTACCCCCTTGGGGTGAGGGATTACTCACCACGGTTGGGGGATAACCCCCCTGTGTACGTGGATAATAGCTCCCCTGGGATTGGTGAATACTCCCCCGGGGCAGGAAATTACTGTCATGGGTCGAGGGACTACTCCCCTGGGGTAAGGGATTACTCCCCCGGGGTGAGGGATTAACCCCTTGGGGTAAGGGATTACTCCCAAAGGTTGAGGGATAACCCCCCTGGGTACGTGGATAATAGCTCCCCTGGGATTGGTGAATACTCCCCCGGGGCAGGGAATTACTGTCATGGGTCGAGGGACTACTCCCCTGGAGTAAGGGATTACTCCCCTGGGGTGAGGGATTACCCACATGGGGTGAGGAATAACTCCCCCGGATTGGAGAATAACCCCCTTGGGTACGTGGCTGATAGCTCCCCTGGGGTTGGTGAATGCTCCCCTGGGGCAGGGAATAACTCTCATGAGTCGAGGGACTTCTCCCCTGGGATGGGAGATTACTCCCCTTGGACGGGGAATTACTCCCCTGGGGTGAGGGATAACCCCCATGGGGGGAGGGATAGCCCCTCTGGGGTGGCGGATAACTCCCCTGGGGAGGGGAATAACTCTCCCGGGTCGAGGGATTACTCCCCTGGGACGTGGGATTGGTCGAGGGATTAATTCCCTCATGAGTCGAGGGACTTCTCCCCTGGGATGGGAGATTACTCCCCTTGGACGGGGAATTACTCCCCTGGGGTGAGGGATAACCCCCATGGGGGGAGGGATAGCCCCCCTGGGGTGGCAGATAGCTCCCCTGGGGAGGGGAATAACTCTCCCGGGTCAAGGGATTACTCCCCTGGGACATGGGATTGGTCGAGGGATTAATTCCCTGGGCTGGGGGACTACTGATAAGGGCTGGTGGTTTACTCCTCTGGAATGGGGGATAGCCCCCCTGGGTTGGGGGATTGCTCCCCTGGGATGGAGGAGGGTAGCTCCCCTGGGGTGGATGAGTACTCCCCTGGGGTAAGCGATTACTCTCATGGGGTGTAGGATTACTCCCCTGGGGTAGGAGGTTGCTCTCCTGTGGTTGGGGATAATTCCCCTGGGGTAGGGTTTGTCCAGCCTGAGGGGGCGTGACACACCCAGCGTCTCCGACAGCCTGCATGATTTTACGTTGGAAGAACATGAGGACCTTTTGGGCCACTTTTATTGGTGTCATTTGTATGATGTAGCTCTCGGGTGATTCCACCAGGCAGGCTAGCTCCCAGCCCCGCTGGCCCATTTCAACCACCACGGAGTCCCAATTGGTCTTGGCTCGGGTGCCACCACTATATGAGAACTGCAAAAATGAAAAAGAAATGATCATCTTTAGGGCTCACTTAAATTGTATGGTCAGGTACTAATTTGGTGTAAAGGGTATGGTGTAATTAAAGTTAGAGTACTAACTTAAAACTTGGTATTATAAGAGGTCAAGAACTAGGACATGAACAGCATGCCTCATTTATTTGTGTTTAAATAGTGAGGTCAAGTGCTAAGCAAGACCCTGGTATAAAGGTTAGCTAATCAAGAGTATGGTGTAATCGAAATTGGGGTACGTATAACTTAAACCTTATGAGAGGTCAGGTACTAAATCGATCATTTAATTTGGTCGAGTACTAATTGAGAACTTGGGTGTCATGAAATCAAGCTTTAATAGTACTTACCATATTTATAATATACTGATAATATTTTATCTCTTTAAATGTAAATATTGAGACTTCAGTTCTATTTAAGGTCAATTACTGATTAAGACTATGCATGGTGACATTGAGGTAAGGTGTGAGTCTAGAATTGGTGTCATTATAGGTACTAACCGCCCATTTGTGTTCGTATTCCACAATGGTCCCTTCCCATTCTTGAACCTCGCTGTGCATCTTAGATGCTTCCTTCTCAAAGAACCAGATGGAGTTTATACTCGTACGCTCCGATGATAAGACACCAGCTAAAAATAGGGGGGGGGGGGTGGTGAATTGAATAACATATTAAATTTCTTTTCAACTTGTTCAGGTCAAAGTGAGACATATAAATTTAAGATTAGTTCGGCAATGGACATGGGGGCAGGGAAAGGGGGCAAGAGGTAGGCAAGAGGTAGGGCAAGGGGTGGGGCAAGGGGTACGTGGGGCAAGGGGTACGTGGGGCAAGGGGTGGGGCAAGGGGTGGGGCAAGGGGTGGGGCAAGAGATGGGGCAAGGGCTGGGGCAAGGGATTGGGCAGGTGATGGGATGAGCGATTGAGATACCTTCGTCTTTAAGCTTTGTCAAACTTAAACACTATGAGAAATATGTGCAGGCAGGGTTTATCGCCAAATCTGGACTCGTTAGTTGTAAAAGGGATCTTTCTATAAAAAAAATTCCTGTCCCTGTTACACCAGACACCTATGATTTGATAATTCTGATGCACTCCTCAATGCAGACTTATACAAGAATGATTATATAGTATTATATAATGGTTATAAGTAGCAAACCACCTATCAAACAAATAAAAAAAGATTGTTGAAGCCATTCTTAATGATACTTGAATGGCAAAGTTTGACCCTAAATTTATAGAACCACGCAGAGAAGCCAGGTGCATCTCCTTCTGTTTATGCTTTACCTTTGGACGTTTCGGAACAGTCAAAATTGATCTCCACTAGTTTCCAGCCCCTCTCTAAGAAAGCGGTAAATTGGCCCGTGAAGTCCATAGGGTACGCCTTGATGCCCGTCATCTTCAGTTTGAACTTCACCGGTACACTGATGACCTGGTAGACGTAGATCTGTGGGTTCGGGTGCAGCGGCATGTTGAAGAACAGATCCACACCTTTTACTGAAGAATATTTAGCAAGAGGCAAAAACAACTTAGACAATTGCTTGCCAATAATCTTTGGCAGACCAGAAAGTATCATTTTAGGACATGATATATCCTCAGTGGGGGAGTCAGTCGGGGAGTCGGGGAGTCAGTCAGTCAGCCAGAGGACAATAGGCTTGCTTTTTTGGGGTCCAACACAGAAACTGACTCATAAGCAGAGAGTAACACTGTGTGCAGAGCCCAGGAGAGGGAACATGTAAGAGCAGCTCAAGGTTTCAGGTATGGTTTTAAACAAATCCTCAAAAAACGTAATCGTTGAGGAATTTCATAACTTAAATATTGATTTGATACTTATTGATTTACCATATTGCTTCGGACGTATCCCCCTCCTAAGAGACCTCCAACTCAGGATTTGATCATAGCTAAGTTGGTAAAGCATTGATATGGTTTTGAAGAGGTTAAAGGTTCAAGTCCCGCTTTGGGTCAATGTCCTTACGCGTTCTGATATTTATGTTAATATTGTGCTGAGCCAGTTTCCTTGGTATTTTTTTTAATGATTAATTTTGAATGTTGAGAAAAAGCAGCAGTCACATATCATTGGTATTTTCAGTATGTAATGTACAGTTTGCTTACTTCCCGGGTCTCCTGACAATAGCGCGCTGAACTCTTTGCCTTCATGTTGACCAGTGATTTCGACGCATACCAAGCGCCCGCCCTGCGATGTAAGTGCGTTTATCTAGTGGATCACACAACAGAACATTATCATCATTTAATTCTACAAGTGGCACATAAATTGACATTTGACTTGCACGGATAATGAAGTTTAACAGGCTGTTAAGAAAAACTAAGACCTCTAATCAAACGTATACATATTTGTGTGCATCTGATGATCGGACACAAAAATTTGCTAGGCCAAAAAAAAAATTGAAGCAGCAAACCTACATGTATAGCCTAATATATTCTTAGAGGCCATTAGCGTTGTAGTAGTTTTCCATTTAGCATCTTTATTGGGCCAAATGTCATGCAATTGGTGTGCAAAAAAGGACGCTTATTAAAATAAATGTTTCTTCACCAAAAATTATTTTAGAACCAGTACAATCAATTTATAACATATACACTCAGATTTGTAACGACTCGAGTCAATGACTCGACTTGAGTCACACTATTTTACTCGAGTCTTAACGAGCAACTGACTCGACTCGAATCACTGCGAATCACATAATCCAAAAATTAATCAGATATCCAAAACATAAATATTCAAAGATCACGTTTTTTGAATTTTTGGTCAGGTACCCTGTACTTGATAAGCCAAAATCTTTTCCAATTTGCTAAATTGTGTGCTTGTAGCATCTCGGGTAATACCTTTTGGTGTATGTCCGAAGTGTCCGACAGTGTTTTTGATGACGTGAAAAACTTTATGATCATCTGTGTCTCTAGGAAACTTTTCTCAACCCGCAGCTGCCATCGCTCCTGAGACGGTGGTCTGAAGGGAAAAAAGGGGAGAAAGATCAATCAAAAGAGTGGAAAATCAAATTACATGCTTAAAAACTCTTTACATAATTACATCTATGATCAAAAGGTAAAAAAAAAACACCCAAATTTGGGACCGTACTTTCCTTAAGACAAAACATGCACTTGTAATAATAATAATAATAATAATAATTTGGGAGGCTAATCATGCTGGTATGCTGAATATGGTGGTATGCTGAATAACGAAGGGCGCGGCTTCAACGTGGATTCGGAGCGTGGTCACCTTGGTGAGAGGCGAGCGCTTTACGCACAAGCCACCCATGCCACCACTTGATCTAATACTTACGCGCTGACAGGTCGCGACAGGATAGCCTGGAACGCCTTAAAGGCAGTTGAGCTGAGTTCTTTTTGCTTCAAGGCACCAGGGATGGACTGGAACTGGTTCATGAGAAATCCACGAGTGTAGGGCTGGGAGATCATGTCATAGTACTCATCGATGTTTGTCTTGATGTGTCGGGCTAACGAAAGTTTAACTGCAAGAAGGAAAGCACATATTTCTAGTTCTCAAAAAGATGTGGACCAGGCCAGGAATCGAACCCGGGCCACAGCGGTGGAAGGCAAGGTGAGTGACCACTGCACCAACCCAACTCTCAAAGTTGATGAGATGTGTTTATTTTTGTGTCTTCAAATGCTTGACTTTATTATGCATTTATTCAATTTCCCTATGTAGTTTCTTTGAACTAATTCTATTTTTTTCTACTGCTTGATTTAATTCACTATCAAAAGTTGCGGTCATTCTGAACCCAGTCTATATGAGATAGATGACACTCTTGCATGTATACGTGTCTCTGGACGTTTCTACAGTCCGAAGTCCCATTGGTCCGACGTCCCATTGGTCCGACGTCCCATTGGTCCAAAGTCCATTTGGCCAATGGGACTTCAGACCAATGAGACGTAACCTCTCTGCCATTGAAATAAAGGATTTCCCATTTTTTGAATGTCACAATGCTAACTTGACCTCGATAATGCAGGCCTATCTGCCCTCCCTTGAGGGCAATAAAACTGAAAGGGCCTCAAGCAGGAGCTGGCTAAGGTGAGTTATAGTGCCCATAACAGGTGCGCACCCCAACGTTTGTTACTAACTAACCAACTAACTAATAAGCATACGGACTAACGGAGAGACCGTAGAGCTGCTATCCGCAGCTAGAAATACTGTAGTCGATGCATGAAGCCCCGTCAGAAGCAAAATTACCAGGCCTTAGGGACGGGGTAATTTATATCCATGCAAGACAACACTGGAACGTTTGTTACTAACTAACCAACTAACTAACTAATAAAACATACGGACTAACGGAGAGACATGAGTACTTGTAAAGCTGCTAGCCGCAGCTAAAAATACTGCAGTCGATGCATGAAGCCCCGTCAGAAGCAAAATTATCAGGGCGTATAAGGGACGGGTAATTTATATCCATGCAAGACAGCACTGCAATTTTTGTTACTAACTAACAGAGAAACACGACGACATGTTGAGCTGCTCAGTGTCCGCAGCTTAAAATAAAAGCCATCAGTTTGAGTATATAAACCTGTTAATGTTACCAGCAGCTTACCTTTAACTTTCAGTTTAGTCTCGATGTTGACAAAACAGTACTCCAATGGACTACCTGCGTACGGCACGGGGTCGTCGGGGAAGCCGCTATGAGCGCCGACATGCACGCCTTCGGGGGTAACTTTTTTTGGAGTAGCATATTTGGGCCGCGATTCGTCGTTGCCCATTCTGGAAGATAGCTCAGCTGAAGTCTCTAAATCAAAGACTAGTGTGGGAAAATAAGCAAAATAACAATGATGCAATAATGAATATGAAATGACAAATATCAAGTTAACCTAATGTTGATACTGCTTTACATAATCTCACTGGGAAAACCCTGTTATACCAACTACAATCTCGCGTTCGCTGGTTTCAACTGGTTCCAACTGGTTTCAACTGCATGGTTTCTAATGGTTTCAACTGGTTTCAACTGGTTTCAACTAGTTTCAACTGGTACCAGTTTAACTGGGAATTGGTGACTGGTTTTAACTTGTTTCGAACTGAACTGGTACAAGTGGCTTTGAGCCAGTTTGACCAGTTCAAAACCAGTTTAAACCAGTCACCAATTCCGAGTTGAACCGGAAATTTTCCCCTGGGATTTCAGTAACCGGCAAACAAACCACGCCCCTCGAAAGTCCAATTTCACTCGAGCAAAGACAAAACCGGTCGGGTAAGTGTATAGTTATGGAACGCCAAACGTACCAATTTATGATGATGTTACCGGGTAAACGTAATTTGATGATGTTGTCAATCTATTATGTGATGTAGTCAATCCATTATGTGATGCCGTCAATGCATTATGTGATGTAGTCAATGCATTATGTGATGTAGTCAATGCATTATGTGATGTCGTCGATCTATTATGTGGTGTCATAATGCATTGACTACATCACATAATGCATTGACTACATCACATAATGCATTGACTACATCATCAAATTACGTTTATACCCGGTAACATCATTAATTGGTACGTTTGGCGTTCCACATATATAGTTATTTAGATAATTACACATCATCTTCAAATAGCTCACCTCCACTGGGGTAAAAAGATGTCGTCAGTATATCCTTTACTCTATAGCACTAGCTGTTGTCACATTCATCATTCGGCATATATTCCAGTGTACTGATCAGTGTCAGTGATGTAGAAATGTTAAAGTCCACAATCCTTTGTTTACATGTATATGATAAATATACCTAATTGTTTACATGTTTGTTTGTTCAAGTTTACAAAGTACAGTGGGGCAACCAGCCCGAGAACTACGAGGGTACACCACATACACCAAAGTCTGTAAATTCCTGCGCGCAAAGAGTAATGTGTTGTGATCTCACAGATATTATGTACACTCCTTGCCGCCTATACTTGGGACGCTGTAGAAATATTTCTGGAAATCAAGCGTTCATGACTTGTAGCTTCCAAATCGGGGATTTGTGACCCCCGGGAACACCCCCCCCCGGCCCCGCAAAGTCTGGATCTATTTAGCATTATACATGTACATGTATGGAGGCGGAGGTCTACATCAAGATATGGGTTTGGCAAACATGGTTTTCGGGGGAGGGGCATGTAAACAAAAATTAAATCGTGACATATTTTCAATGGGGAGCGCAGATAAAATCCTATATATATTAACTAAATTGTTTAATTAATTATTAATTATTACATAATTAATTATTAACTATATTAACTAGAAGTGTACAAATGCACCCTTCTCGAGACTATTTACTTAGGGGAGACTGTTCGCGTGTACGTCACACTCTTACAGTTACATTTTGCTAGTGCAATTTTTTTTCCATGGAATTTGTTTGTTTGTTTGAGTTTTTTTTTTGGGGGGGGGGGCTGCTAGACAAAATTTCTAGGGGGCTTAAGCCCCCCCCCCCACCCCGTAGAACCGCAATTGCCCGACTAGCTTACAATAACAGTCTACCCGACAAATTTAACACAATCGGCAACATATCCTACGACACCCCTATTCTTTGAATATTTTGACTCATGAATTATTCATTTGGTTTCATATCTTGCTCATGCTGCAATAATATCGTATTGGTCAAGTAATAAAAAACTACATATTTTGCATCCAGTACCAAACTTCAGTACTGGGTGAGTAAAAAAAAGTGACCGAAATAAAATAAATCTGTTAAAAACTTTCGGTTGCCCCATTTCATAAAAATGACATACGATAGAGTTGAGTATTATATGATTGACTAGTAACTGTGTGAATTGCACATAATTTGCATACTCTATTCCCGAGTTATGTCTATTTTAATAAAAAAGATCACAAAATGCAGCTATCCACAATAGATCGTGAACCGTTTACAAACTGATGCACACCATTAAATACAATGAAACATGGACGTTTTCCCACCTGAAAGGGAAGATACATTTGCAAACATCAAAACACGAAATGATCAAATTATCACGAAATACCTTACTGAATTGTTAGAGACTGACATTCTAAAGCGTCCTTTAAAATCGTGGCTCCTGGTGTGCTGACATTTTGAAGAAAAATTGTATTTTTCCAACGCTGGTCGGCCGACCAGCGTTGGAGAAAACTTTTTTTTTTCCAACAACTGTTCCTAATTTTTCATATTTAGTTATTCTGACTTTTCTTTGCAATTTAATACACACCTATGAAGAGGTACAAGCCAGCTAGACTGATTCTCTGACCTTACAATTCCCCAAAGTGAATTAATTGCTCCGTTTCATCTTAAGTGGGGTCAGGGAACCAGACTACAAGAACATGATAGGTTTTCTTGGTTTTTCCAGCATCTACAAGCCCAAAACGTGAAACAAGTCAGTTTAACAATATTTTCTCTAACATACTAATCCTCCAAATCCATTTGTTTCTGAAAATTCCAGCGAAAGCAAATGATGTACATTCCCTTTAATGAACGAAACAAAACTTAAAAGGAAAAACAGACAAACAAAATCAGTATCAATATTTCAGGGAAAAAATGACTTGTTCCTCATATTCAAAATACAAAATCGGATAATAAACCTAATGTTTCAGTCTTAACTCAAATTATTACAATTTTATTTGTATTTGAATACGTGTGTTTAGTCCGTAATTCTCACTCGGCTCAATAGCTTCCAATGGCATTCCATGGACAGCTATACAAATAGGTTCTTTAAGTAAAACATGCATAATTTCTGATAGTATGGATCAATTTCAGTAATATTTATTATGTGCATAATAAGCATGTAGACGTACATACATGCTGTACATTTAAGAAAAAAGCGAATAAAAATCAGTCAGCTGTCAGTGTGTTATTACTTACTGTTTCAAATAATACATTTACATAACCAAATAAAAAAATTAGATACAGATATGATCAATGTCGGCAGTACAAACAATAAAGGCTATTTTTACAGATTACAAAAATAAACAAAAGGTGTTGTTTCTTTCCAACTCCGCAACTGTTGGAAGACAAACAAAATCTGGAGGAAGGAATGATCCCTGTTGGCCTTGAGCAAGACACATGATCACAATTGGCAAATTCCACAAGATTTCAGTAAGTAAAAATAAAATGCTGAAAATTGGCAAGGCTCGCTTGAAATTTTATGAATATAAGGCAGTCATAGATTACATGATAGCTATTTCAATTTTGATACAAATTTAAAAATAAAAAAAGTTTAAACAGGCACTCAACAGGTTGCGGAAAGCGCAGCAATTTATCGTCTTCAGGAAAAACACTGCAAAATGAGTCCTGAAGAAAAGAAAAAGATTGTTAGTCAAGCCTATGACTGCTCACTACATATATAATTGTTCTTATTTGTATTTACACATTTTTAGTAGATAATATTTTTGACTGAAGTACATTAAGAATACATACTGAATTCAACTGGCCTTAAAGATATAGTCCATCATTTGTAATTTGTGCATTTTGTTCGTTTGAAGCAACAAAAGTGTTCAAAATTTAATGAAGGATACTGAACAACTAACCTGATGAAGTTTCAGCTCAGCTTCAGCTGTATATTCCGAGAAAAACAGCATTCTAGGATCTCAATTTCAAATCAAAAGTTGCTGAATCATGTTTTGAATTGTTTTGAATTGCAGCTATAAGCGATGTCGCGCACTGATCCGACGAATTATAGCAACCGCTCGTGCCTGTGCGTCGTGCCAATGCTTGCGCGTGCTGCGCCGAATAACAAAACGAACTACTTATTTAAATTTCCTACGGTGCGTCTTAAGACGCACCATTGGAAAGGCCTTCTTTCGTTGATTACTTCAAAATGATAGCTTACCAGAAAGATTAATTTCACAGGGAGTTTAGTCCACTTACTATCTTTCAACCAAGTATGTATTTCAACAATAATATGCCAGTTACTTTTTCGGATGGCTGCAAATGATGGACTATAGCTTTAAAACTGCTAGATTTTTCAAAGGCCTGAAAATATCAACTCAAACATAAACAATTTTTTTTATGAAACATATTTCACAAATTCCTATATTCTAATACGGTATATTACTATGATATGTCATGTATGTACATCAACCAGTCACATGATGGTGTCCTTTCCGCTCCAAAGTTAAGGATTTGACACTTACAGTGTAAGTTGAATCTGTACTTTCTCAAAGGTCACTCACTTTTTTTTCCTCCTCTGGGGAATTTCCAGGGTAGCCCCCCTGGGACGGATCTGGATAGGGTGGGGGATTACTCCCCTGGGGTGGGGGATAACCCCCCTGGGCCCCCTGGGGTGGTGGATAACTCCCTTGGGGAGGGGGTTGCCCACCCAGAGGGGTTCTGGCAAACCCTTCAGCTCCCGCGGGTCGCAAGATACGACGTTGGAAGAACAAGATAACCTTAATGGCCGCTGTTGAGAATCCCGTGGCGTACATCTCTGGTGATTCCACCAGGCAGGCTAGCTCCCAGCCCCGCTGGCCCATCTCGCCCACCAATGGATCCCAGTTGGTCTTGGCTTTGGTGCCACCAAATGTGCGCTGCCAAAAAAGGATATGATAGTTCTTAAAAGTGAGGTCAAGTACTAACTGCGACCTTGATTTGAAGGTTTAAGGACTGAGACAATGGTATCAAATTAGAGATCATGTACTAACTGAGACTATAGACTTAAAGGCTTAATGGTATAATTAAAGGTCACACAATAACTGAAACTTTGGTGTTCTAAGAGTTTAAGTACTAAGTCAGATCTTTGTTTCATTCAAGGTCAAGTTCTATCTAAGACCTTGGTGTCATAAGTCAAAATCTAACACTTTTGTGTCTACTAACCTGTAACTGTTCTTCGGTGTCATTATGGAGTACTATCCTAAGATATTGTTGTTATGGGTCAAGAACTAACTACTCATCAAGTCTTTTGTATAGACGTCAGGTACCAACAGAGACTTTGGTATCATTACCGGCTAAGTACTGAGACTTGTGGTGTCATAAGCAGTCAAGTACTAACTGAGACTTTGATATCATTAGAGACTAAGTACTGAGACTTTTGGTGTCATAAGCGGTCAAGTAGTAACTGAGACTTTGGTATCATATAGAGACTAAGTACTGAGACTCTTGGTGTCATAAGCGGTCAAGTACTAAGACTTTGGTATCATTGGAGACTAAGTACTGAGACTTTTGGTGTCATAAGCAGTCAAGTACTAACTGAGACTTTGGTATCACTGGAGACTAAGTACTGAGACTTTTGGTGTCATAAGCAGTCAAGTACTAACTGAGACTTTGGTATCACTGGAGACTAAGTACTGAGACTTTTGGTGTCATAAGCGGTCAAATACTAATTGAGACTTTGGTATCATATAGAGACTAAGTACAGAGACTTTTGGTGTCATAAGCAGTCAAGTACTAACTGAGACTTTGGTATCACTGGAGACTAAGTACTGAGTCTTTTGGTGTCATAAGCAGTCAAGTACTAACTGAGACTTTGGTATCACTGGAGACTACATGTAAGTACTGAGACTTTTGGTGTCATAAGCGGTCAAGTACTAACTGAGGCATTGTTGTCATAAAGGTCAAGAACTAACCCCAATTTTGTGTTCGTATTCCACAATAGTGCCTTCCCATTCCGGAACCTCGCTGTGCATCATAGACGCTTCCTTCTCAAAGAACCAGATGGAGTTCATACTGGCATGTGCCGTGAAGAAACCGGCTGAAAATGGGGGAAAAATTTAAATCGGTTTGAAGTCTTCTCACGATTTCCTGGTCATGGAAAAGACGAACTGACATATCTCAAGACAGGTAAAGCCAAAGGGAGGAGGGCCAGGGTGGGAAAAAGGAGGCAAAGGGTGGGGAAAGGGGTGGGGCAAAGGGTGGGGCAAAGGGTGGGGAAAGGGGTGGGGCAAAGGGTTGGGCAAAGGGTGGGGCAAGGGGTTGGACAAGGGGTGGGGCAAAAGGTGGGACGAGGCAAGGGGGAGGAACACAGATGTAATAAATACAGATGTTTGGAAGTTTGGTTGAATCAACCACAAGTACTAAGGATGTGCATCGGAAGTGTGTACCTGACCGCTGATGTCAGGAACTGGTTCCAGATTATTGAATCGAGTACCCATAATTGGCATGACATATTACTTGGTGACTACTCAGAAAATGGCAAAAGAAAGCTTTTGAATGTCATTCATGGGGAAATTTTTAAAATGAAAACAAATCACATAGGGATGTGTGTGAATTGTTTTTGTTTTGCTGAAAGAACGCAAACATTTTTTTGTGTGAGCCGTTGATAGAACTTTACAACAGTGGTTGTGGTCAAAACTTGAAAAGTACATCAGTGATTTGAATGATTCTTGTACTAAAAGAAAGCTTATGAATTGGGCTTTCAAATCCTAGATTTTGAAAGTGCTACATACAGAACTTCACTAAAACAATAGTCCCGATATTCGGGTTTTGTGTTTTTGACTCACCCTGTATACATCTGGGGTCCACATCTTAACCGATCCCTGTTAAATCTGACATCTATAATTTTAAAAATCTGATGCACTCCTTATTTAATGCGGGCATTCTTGAATGACCAGAGGTAACAGACTAGGGACAGAAAAGATATGTCACAATTTGGACCCTTTTTTCAATGAAATTTCTATGAACTGAGAAAAGGAAGCTGTACGCTTCTACCATCCTCCTTCTTTTATGCTTACGTTGTGTCGTAAGGGAAGAGTCAAAGTTGATCTCCACTAGCTTCCAACCCTTCTGTAAGAAGGCGGCAAACTGGCCCATGAAGTCTGTCAGCACCTTGATGCGCGGCTGAGGATACGAAGACGTCAGCTTGAACTGGACCGGTACGCTAACGGCTTGGTAGACGTAGATCTGAGGGTTTGGGTGCAGCGGCATGTTGAAGAACAGATCCACGCCTTTGACTGAAGAATAACATTTTGTTAAAGACGCTTATTGAAAGACTGTGATGTTTATTTTAATCTAAAGGTTTCAAAGTGTATTTGTCTTGTTTCACTTTTTGTTGATGGTAATGTTTTGTCGACGGCGGTTCATTGTTCCCATCCTTTGGTCACGCTATTATGTTACGCGACACGTACACGCCCGGCTGTTGTTGTATTACAAACACTGCATTGGAATTGACCAATCAAACCGTTAGTCCTGATTTGGGAATGAAATGAGGTCACGATTAGTAAAGACGACTCCGATTGGCTGGCGCGCGGCTTGCATATATCTGCATGCTTAGACATATCAGACGTTATACAGGAGATTTGGCTCCGTGGATAATGGGTGGTACCCAGACTACCATGGGCATACTGTACATATGATAAAGACTGTTTAGGCGACTGACCTTCCGGGTATCGCGACCTTGCCTGCCGCAAGCCTTGCTGGAAACCGGTGATTTCGACGCATATCAAACGCCCACCCTGCGATACGACTGCGTTTATCTGGTGAATCACAAAACAGAACAAAATCATTATTTAGTGGCATATAAATTGATACCCGACTTTTATTTCCACCTACAATGAGGTTAAACAGTTGTTAACAGTCGGTTTTGAATTGAATTTTTGTCGAGTCGGGATGGGTATAGGTTTTATCGAGTTCAGATCGGTTTTGGTAAAGTTCAGGTCAGTTTGGCCTGGTCAATTTGACCCGATATACAAAACTAAAGAAGAACAGAAAAAAATGAAATTGGTAAGTCTAAAATGTATTGGAACTGGTTCTTAGCTGTCAATTTTGCTTTGCAGTATTTTTCTGTTCAGCATTTCAATTATTAACTAGGCAAAGTTCCGTGGAGTGGCTGTGCCAAAACAAACTAATTCCTAATTAGAATACGTCGTGTCAGTGAAACAAGGTCGTAACATGAACGTATTATCTCGCGCAAATATGCTCCGTGCAACTACATCGTATCTCGACATCCATTGTGTACATCCGGGTTATTTTAAGTGAGATACGACCTTTTACAATTGTAAACTTGCATTTCACGACCTTGTAGCACAGACATGACAAATAAATGTTTGCTCACCAAAGCATAGATACACTATACGTCAGTCTCCTGACGATGACTAGAGCAGTCGAAACGTAAACCAAAGACAAGTTCTTTTAGAACTTAAAACAGGACTGTTCTTATCAGAACTAAAACTACTTAGTCAAACTTGATAATAAGCAGGACAAGTTCTTATCAGAACTAAATATCTACTGAGCGAAAGTAGTTATTACCACATGGTTTTACCGCAAACCAAAACGATACTGATGCTCCACCAAGCAAAGCCTAAAATATTATTCCCGTTACTTGTTATGAAAATCTTCTTTCTTTTTTTTTGTTGCAGAGAGAAATCCTTTGCTTAGGCCAAAAAAAAAAAATAGTCGGTCTCTGGTCAGACCGAAGTTCCGGAATTGATGCGGGTTTTTTTTTTTTCAAGCTTGTATTGTACAGACAAGGTGGGTACTATTTTGCTTTTTTGTGTCCTCATTATACATGGGTGTCCTCCATAATTTGCCTTGGTGCCCTTTATCATTTGCCTTGGTGCAATTTCCCCATTCCTTGGTGCTCCTTGGTACAAAAATTTGAGGAGGCGCGGCAATAGAGGGCGCTGTTGTAGCTTCCGTGTTAATTTGAAGAAAAAGAACAAGGTTGACGCGCATGATTAAAATCAACGCGCGCGCTGACCAGAGACCGAGTATTTTTTTTTTTTGGCCTGAGCATTTTGACTTTTTCTTGGTGCTGCAAAGATTTTTTCTATATTTAGGACAGTCTTTTGTACCTTTTGGTGTATGTCCGATGTGTCAGACACTACTGTTGCCTGTGATGTGAAAAACTGAACCGTCAACTGCGTCTGCAGGAAACTTTTCTCCACCCTCAGCTGCCATCGCTCATGAGAGGGTGGCCTGTGAAGAAATCAAGCATAGAGGGAAGAAAGTGTATTAAACTATGGGAAACCAAATAACGATAGTACTGGCTAAGGAACTCTTTGCATAAATACATCCTAAAGGAAAAAAAAATGTTACAATGACTGTTGTATGTAAGGACATTTGGTAACATTTTTGTCACGTACTCGTGCTAGTTCAGTCCTCACAAGTCAATCACAAGTCAGTCAAGCCTTTAGTCACAAATCAAACCACAAGTCAGTCACAAGTCAATCACAAGTCAATCACAAGTCCATCACAAGTCAATCACAAGTCAATCACAAGTTCTTCAGTCTCAAGACAAGTATCAACCTACATGTATTCAAATGAACTGTAGGAATTTCTTTGTCATTGTTCACGCACGTACTTAAACTGTAGGCCTACTTGGGATTGACTTGGGATTGACTTGTGATTGACTTGTGATTGACTAGTGATCGAGTCGTGATCGAGCTGTAGTTGAGTTGTGATTGACGTGTGATTGACTAGTGATTGACTAGTGATTGACTAGTGATTGACTGGTGATTGACTTGTGATTGACTGGTGATGAGTAATTGTGATTGAGTTGGGATTGACTTGTGATTGACTTGTGAAAACTGACTTGGGGTTGACTAAGGATTGACTTGGGATTGAGTTGTGATTGAGTTGTGATTGACTTGGGATTGACTTGTGAATGACTTGGGATTGACTTAGGATTAACTTGGGATTGACTTGGGATTGACTTAGGATTGACTTGGGATTGACTTGTGAAAACTGACTTGGGGTTGACTAAGGATTGACTTGGGATTGAGTTGTGATTGAGTTGTGATTGACTTGGGATTGACTTGTGAATGACTTGGGATTGACTTAGGATTAACTTGGGATTGACTTGGGATTGACTTGGGATTGACTTGTGAAAACTGACTTGGGATTGACTTGGGGTTGACTTGTGATTGACTTGGGATTGACTTGGGATTGAGTTGGGATTGAGTTGGGATTGACTTGTGATTGAGTTGGGATTGACTTGTGATTGACAAGTGATTGACTTGTGATTGACTAGTGATTGACTTGTGACCGACTTGCAACTGACTTGTGACGGACTTGTGAGGACTGACCTACAACTCTGTCTCATAAAGTGCTTGACTGAAATGTTAACCCCAGTCTCCTTATATGTTGTGCTCCATATCCTGATCCAAGATGCTTATCCTAAGACATGCTTTCTTTAAGACAACCTGTGCTTCTTGTCGTGGTCCTCTTGCTTAGTCTCACTTACGCATTGACCGGTCGTGACAAGATAGCCTGGTATGGGACAGCGACTTTGTAGCTGAATCCTCCTTGCCTCATCACTCCGGGGATAGACTGGAACTGATTCATGACAAATCCCTCGGTGTAAGGCTGGGAGATCACGTCATAGTAGGCATCGATGTTGGTCGTTATGATGGGGGCCGAGAAAAATTTAACTGCAAGACAGAATGTACATATTTAATTCTTATAATGTTAAAGGATTATTATTATTTATAATTTTGTATCAGCTCCGTTCACAAGTACCCCCTCACCGGCATAGAAAGTACAGTTGGGGGTTGGGACCGACGCCATCTTGCCCGACTGCAAGTTTGCCACGACGCGCGGCCGTACCACTGCGTGTACATAGTACAAATCCCCTGGTGTACGTGCGTCACACAAAAGGAACAGTGCGCGTCAATGTCCCGCCCATATGGGACGTCGTTGCTAGGTAAAAAGGCGCCCTCTTTTGTTGGCGCATGGAGCCCATAACCTTAAACCAGTTGTACAGTTTCATCTAGTCCGTTCTCATCTACCTCATCTGAGGGTTAATTGAGGTAGTTTATATCCATGCAAGTCTGCACTGGAACATTTGTTTCTAACTAACAGAGAAACACGACGACTTGTTAAGCTTGCCTTTAGCTTTAAGTGAAGCCTCGATGTTGACAAAACAGTACTGCCACAGGCTGCCTGCGTACGGCACGGGATCGTCAGGAATGCTGCTATGAGCGCCGACCCGCTCCCCTTTCTTGGTAACCCCACCCGGAGTTTCGTACTTGGTCCGCGATTTCTCGTTGCCCATTCTGGAAGTCGATCAGCTCAGCTGAAGTCTCTATATCAAAGACCATAGTAAGGAAATAAGCAAAATAACTATGATGCAATAACGATTATGATGACATTGACATAACAACTACAATATTTACCTTAAACTGCTACTTCTTTACAAAATTGCTGGGTAAACCTGTACACTATACAAACTACAATTTCAATAACACAACAAGCTAAAGATTGTGGCAAACCATGGAGCTATTAGTGTTTAATAGCTCCATGGGCAAACAAACGTCGCCCCTTCAAAGTCCAATTTCTCTTGGGTCGAGTCAAAACCACGTGTTCAGATAATTAAAGCTTTTAAAATAGTTATTTAGATAATCACACAATAACTTGAATAGCTCACCTCCGCTGGGTAAAATGATGTCGTCAGTACAGAAGTAAAATCCTTTACTCCAGCAGTACAGTCACATTAGTCATACCACATTATCATATTCATAATCAATTTGTCATAGGCCCTGCCATATAGGGTATGTGCCATTAATATGCTCAATTTCAGATTTTCGTGCAACAGCAGTGGGGACAACCTGAAACTTGTTTGGGTACACACCTCTGATCAAAAATTTCAATATCCCCAAATAGGGGGGATGCCCACTAATTTTTTAACGTGTAGTTGATGACAGCACATATGTTAACCAACGGTGCATCAACTGTACGCTATAATGTGACAAATTTATGTGTTTATTGTGACTCGATGATAGTGTCCCCGTAGCCATTTTTCAGAACCAATCAAAATGAACCCAAAAATTAGAGGTTTTTCGGCCTGCAATTCGGTATCTGACTAGCTTGCAATAAAAGTCTGCCCCACAAATTGAACACAATCGGTAACATATCCTAAGACATCCCTATTCTATATTTTGTCTCAGATTGGAACTTCAATATTTCTTGGTTCTTGGTTCTTGGTTGGTTCTTCTCCTAAATACTCCACGTGGGAGTTTATACAGGAGGCCAGAAACACCGGGGCAAACCCCTTCTCTTTAAGCGATAAGTGTTTACTGGGTTCTTTTACGTGCATTAATACAACACACGGGACCTACGGCTTAACAGCCCATCCGAAGGACGAAGCAATAATGGTTAAGTGCCTTGCTTAAGAGCACAAGTGTCCGCCGGCGGGCTTGAACCCACGTCACTGTTGCCTCTGAAACACCAGAACATGAGTCCGGTGTTCTTAACCGCTAGGCCATGACACTCCACATGAATTATTCATTTGGTTTTATGTCTTGCTCATGCCACAATAAAATCCCAATGGTTAGGTACAGGTAATTTCATTTTTCAACAAAAATGCTAGTCAACGCTTATACCTTGTAGTTTAAATGCCTTTCGTTCAGAAAAATACGGGCAAATGACAAACAAACCTGTAGTATCTAATGTTCGGGAATGAAGGGAGACACACACACACGGTCCTCGGCTGAATAAGTGTATTCAACAACTGAATGGAGGTCAATCCATGACCTGCGATGTCATCAGGTACATAGGTATGGAGTGCCTATGATACAATATTACAAAACCCACAATTTGTGACTTCAGTTATGTAATTCTAATTTTTTTGGAGTTATCAATCTGCAACGTACAACTGGTCACCAAGAAAATCGAATGAGCATTTCCGTTAAAGATGCACCCATAAACACATAATTTCAGCAAATAACATATTTGTCAAATAAGAACTGTAATCGCATCTGTTTTGGAATAACACGTTTCAGTTATATTTCAGTTCATGTGCGTTTTGGGATAAGTTATATACCATAAGATACTCTTTGAAAATGTGAAAGCAAAGTCAATGGCTAATATTTTACGGTAACAAAAAAAGTATTTAAAAAAATATCAAGAGTTTGCTAGTATTAGTGTCACACACCATGGGTTGAAAATGTGCACAGAATAATGTTGTACATTTTTTAAAAATGTGAATAAAAAGTAGTTAGTTGTTAGTGTGTTATTACTAACTATTTCAAATAATGTATTTACATCCCAAAAAAGGAATTTAGATACAGATTTCCTCACCGTGCAGTACAAAAATAAAGGCTACTTTTACATATTCCAAAAATTGAATGAAGGTTTTGTTTCTTTCCAGCTCCAGAACTGTTTTTAGAAGAAAAAAAAAACAATTCTGGAAGAACTTGAGGAACAATCCATATTGTTCTGTAATTCACTACCTTATGGAGATGTGTGTACAATAGGGAACAAATTTAAGATTGTAAAGGTCTCCACAAGGCAATTTCAACAGTTGAATACGTCTCCACAATGTTTTAACGAAATAGATATATGGATTTTACTCAAAAACTAAACTCAAAAACTGTATTTTCTGTAAGGGATATTTGGTCCAAATTTCAGCCCAGGAAATTACTTCTGGTTAAAATAGGAGCATTTTGAAACTACATTTTCACATTCTCAAATTTTAGTACACGAGAACAAAGAGATGTCTCCACAAGGATACAAATTCCACTATGTGTGTGCTGGAGCAAGATAGGCAAATTCTACAAGATTTCAGTAGTGAAAAGTATGCATAAAACTTGGTAAAGCTCACTTGGCCTTGGATGAGTATGTAAGGCAGTTATAATTACAATGACATAATTACATGATAGCTATCAGTGGAATACCTGGGAAAAAATACTGCAAAATAAGTCCCAAAGAAAAAGAAGATTGTTTACAATAACAAGCCTATGATTGCTCACTACATATATAATTGTTATTATTTGTATTTACACATTTTTTAGTACATGATATAAATTTTGATAAAAGTACATTCGGAATACGGACTTAATAACTTCAACTAGCCTCAAACTTCTAGACTTTTCAAAGGCTAGAAAATACGGTAAAACCTAAACAACTGATATTTTTAGGCCATAAAAAATAAATTACATTGCCCTCACATGAAAAATATCAGGAGGGTCAGTCGGCCAGGATATTTTTTTTTTTGGGGGGGGGGTATAGATAGTACACATTTAGGCCTACCGTTTCTTCTAATTGATGAATAACTGGAAAGAATGGCCACTTGTTGTCGGTTACCAGTTCTGTTCTACCAGCGTACATATAGGCTACATGTACTACACGCGCCAACTATACTGTGTACATGTACATGCAGGTGATACAATGTACAGTACTAGTGTACGTGAACTATATACACCCCGAGGACAGACAGACAAGGGAGAACAACAGATTCTTTGTTGTCCTCGAGAGTTCATCTTTTGTTGAAATCGGTCCTCGGTCGTGCGTTTGTGTGCTTAGTCTATGAGAGAGTGTTATATTACAGGGACAAAGGAAAAGACAAAGCCTTGTCCTCGAGAGTAATGTAAAACACGACTGAGTGCATGTACACATGCATACAATGTATGTAGTACACCACATGCCCCAGGCCTCGGTTACACGTACAAAATACTTTAAATTCAAACTGTACTACCATTTAGGTATACATATACATTTTGTAACGAAATGTAAAATTATGGCATTACTACAAAACAGTAAGGTTCATTTAACGTTTTTTTTTTTTTCGAGTGAAAAAGACAAGAGACCACCGGAGATATTTCCAGATTTTTGGGTTGGTCGAGTGAGGGCAACACAATTTATTTTGGGGGCCTGATTCAAAGATACCGATATTTTAAAATACTGCATATTACTATGATATGTCATGTATGTACATCAGCCAGTTGCAAAGATTGTGTCCATTCCTCTGGAAAGTTCACAATTTTGACGCTGGAATCTCTCAAAGGTCACTCACTTTTTTCCAGTCTGTGGGGGAGTTCCGGGATAGCCTCCCTGGGTCTGACCTGGATAGGGTGGGGGATTACCCCCCTGGGGTTGGGGGTAACTCCCCTGGGGTTGGGGGTAACTCCCCTGGGGTTGGGGGTAACTCCCCTGGGGTTGGGGGTAACTCCCCTGGGGTTGGGGATAACCACCCTGGGGTTGGGGGTAACCCCCCTGGGGTTGGGGATAACCACCCTGGGGTTGGGGATAACCCCCCTGGGGTGGGGGATAACTCCCCTGGGGTTGGGGATAACCCCCCTGGGGTTGGGGATAACCACCCTGGGGAGGGGGTTGCCCACCCTGAGGGGGCATGGCGAACCCTCCAGCTCCCACGGGTCGCAGGATACGACGTTGGAAGAACATGAGGACCTTTATGGCCGCTGATGAGAATCCTGTGGTGTAGGTCTCGGGGGACTCCACCAGACATGCTAGCTCCCAGCCCCGCTGGCCCATCTCAATCACCACTGGATCCCAGTTGGTCTTGGCTCGGGTGCCACCAAATGAGGCCTGCACAATAAAAAGGATGTAAAAGTACTTAAAAATGAGGTCAAGTACTAACTGCGACCTTGATTTAAAGGCTCAAGTACTGAGACCATGGTAACATTAGCTGAGACCTTGGTTTAAAGGGTTAAGTACTGACCGAGAGTATGGCGTAGTTAAAGGTCATGCAATAACTGAAACTTTGGTTTTGTGAGCAGTTAACTACTACTTGAGACCTTGGTTTCACTCGTGGTCGAGTTCCTTCGAAGACCTCGGTGTCATAAGAGGTCAGGTACTAACTAAGACCTTGTTGTTATAAAGTCAAAATCTGACACTTTTGTGTCTACTAACCTCCAACTCTACTTTGGTGTCATTAGTACTCGAGTACTAACCTACGATTTGGTGTTATCAGGTCAAGTTCTAACTACTCATCAAGCTTTTTGTAAAGACGTCAGGTACCAACAGAGACTTTGGTACCATTAGAGGCTAAGTACTCACTGAGACTTTTGGCGTCATAAGCGGTCAAGTACTAACTGGGGCGCAAGTGTCATAAAGGTCAAGTACTAACCGAGACTTTGTGTTCGTATTCCACAATAGTGCCTTGCCATTCTGGCACCTCGCTGTGCATCTTAGACGCTTCCTTCTCAAAGAACCAGATGGAGTTCATACTGGAATGCGCCGAGAAGAAACCGGCTGAAAATGGGTAAAGAAACGAAAAGCGATTTTGATTTCTTCTCACGATTTACGAGGGCAGGGAAAAGGGGGAAAGGGTGGGGCAAGGGGTGGGGCAAGAGGTGAGGCAAGGGTGGGCAAGGGTGGAGCAAGGGTGGGGCAAGGGTGGGGCAAGGGTGGGGCAAGGGTGGGGCAAGGGGTGGGGCAAGGGGTGGGGCAAGGGGTGGGGCAAGGAGTGGGACAAGGGGTTGGGCAAGGGGTGAGGCAGGAGGTAGGGTGAGGCAGGGGGTAGGGCGAGGCAGGGGGTAGGGCGAGGCAGGGGGTAGGAAGACAGATGCTCTCACTACCAGTTTCAGAAACCTTGGTCCAACATAATCACATGCACTGTGAGAATGTATACAAACCAAAGGCGGGCATGCTTTATGGCCAAATCTGGAATGGTCAGTTGTAAAAGGGCCATTCTATAAATTTGGAGTCCCATCCTTGTTACATCTGACATTTTACATCTGACATTTTACAATCCTGAATGCGGTCGTCCTTGAATGGCCAACTACGAAGATCGGAGGTAACTGACCAGGGACAGGAAAAATGTCACACATTGGACCCTAAATTTATAGAACGACATAAAAGGAGGCCACAGCGTCTACCACTCTCCTTGGTTTACGCTTACGTTCTGTCGTCTGGGAATTGTCAAAGTTGATCTCCACCAGTTTCCAGCCCTTCTGTAAGAAGGCGGCAAACTGGCCCATGAAGTCTGTCAGCACCTGGATGCGCGGCTGAGGAAAGGAAGACGTCAGCCTGAACTGCACCGGTACGCTGATGGCTTGGTAGACGTAGATCTTAGGGTTCGGGTGCAGCGGCATGTTGAAGAAGAGATCTACGCCTTTGACTGCAGAATAAGTTTCATAATAAACACATTTTTTGGGCATACAAATGCTTTAGAAAAACTTCATTTCCAGAACATTTCTGTTTTTAAGTAGTGGTTTATAGTTTCTGACTATTGCATCTTGAGCGATGGCATCGACTTTATCCGCTCCGTTCACAAGTACCCCCTCACCGGCAAACAAAGTACAGTTTGGGGTGACCGACCGACGCCATCTTGCCTGACTGCAATTTTTCCACGACGCGCGGCCTTACCACTGCGTGTACATAGTACAAATCCCCTGGTGTACGTGCGTCACACACAAGGAACGGTGCGCGTCAACCAGCTAAATGTCCCGCCCATGGGACGTCGTTGCTAGGTAAAAGGGCGCCCTCTTTCGTTGGCGCACAGAGCCCATACCCCTGTAATGGTTGCCCTCACATAGGTTGGTTTTTGATATTTAAATTGACTGTCAATGCGTCTACCCCTGTCTATCACACAGGTACAAAGATGCGAGGGGGTCTGTACTGGGAGACTGCCAATATAGGACTGGATAGTTTAGTTGGTAGGACACTGGAATGGCATTCCGGTGGTAAGAGGTTCAAAACCTGCTTCATTAACATCTTTTGTACTAATTTTTTTTTTTTTTGATTTTGGAAAGTGTAATTTCCCTGTTTTTGTGTGTGGGTGTATGACTTGTTGCAATCACATAATCTGAACTATCGGCACCATTTTCAAATCATACAGTATACAAATAGACGGTTCACTGACCTCCCTGGTGTCCCGACATTGCCTGCCCAAAGCTGGGGCCTTTCTCGAAACCGGTGATTTCGACGCAGATCAAACGGCCACCCTGCGACGCGACTGCGTTAATCTGGTGAATCACATAACAGAAAAGCATCATCGTTAAATTCTACTATACATTTGTGACACCGGGGGGATCGGTGTCGAAATGGGAATGAGGGATGGCTAAAGCAAATTCTCTGATGTTATCTCTGTTGTTTTATTTCTGTAAAATGAAGAGAAGAGTAAATCATAATTAACTTCAATTTACTTCAAATCAAACAATTTTTTTAACAAAGAAAAAGAAAATATTGTTTGCTTTTAATACAGTACTTTTCTATTTAATAGCATCTCAATTACTTGGGCAAAATTTCATGAAGTCCCTGGGCAAAAAATAAATCTGCTTAGAATAAGGTCTACTCGCCATGCAATGGATAACCTAATCTATACTTGCTAAGAAAATCTCTTTTTGTGCGTAGCAGAATTCTGTGCATAACATCTCTGGACACTTTTAGCGCCGCAAAGACTTTTGCTAGGAGAGCCATTTGTACCTTCTGGTATATGTCCGATGTGTCGGACACTGTTGTCTCCCGAGTTGTGAAAAACTTAAGTATCATCTGCGTCTGCAGGAAACTTTTCTCCACCCTCAGCTGCCATCGCTCCTGAGACGGTGGCCTGTGAAGAAATCAAGCATAGAGGGGAGAAAGTATGTAGAACTATGGGAAACCAAATAACGGGAGTACTGGCTTAGGAACTCTTTGCATAATCCTTGATGACTGAAATGTTACTGTTACACAATGGCACTTTGGTAACATTTCAGTCATGCAATTACGCAACTCTGTCCTATTAAGCACTTGACTTAAATGTCAACTCCAGTTTTCTTATATGATTTTCAACATCTTCTAATTCAAGATGTTCATTGTGCTTTCCTTAAAGGTATAGTCCATCATTTGCAGCCATCCGAAAAGTAACTGGCGTAATTATTGTTGAAAAACAAACTTGGTTGAAAGATAGTAAGGGGACTAAACTCCCTGTGAAATTATTCTTTCTGGCAAGCTGTCATTTTGAAGTAATCAACGAAAGAAGGCATTTCCAACGGTGATTCTTAAGAAGCACCGTAGGAAAATTTAAATTAGTAGTTTGTTTTGTTATTCAGCGCAGCGCGCACAAGTATTGGAACGACGCACACGCGCGTGCGGTTGTTATAATTCGTCGGATCAGTGCGCGACATCGCGTATAGCTGCAATTCAAAACATGATTCAGTAACTTTTGATTTGAAATTGAGATCTTAGAATGCTGTTTTTCTCGGAATGTACAGATGAAGCTAAGCTGAAACTTTATCAGGTTAGTTGCTTAGTATCCTTTATTAGATTTTGAACTCTTTTGTTGATTCAAATGAACAAAATGCACAAATTACAAATGATGGACTATAGCTTTAAGCACTTGACTTAAATGTCAACCCCAGTTTTCTTATGTGATTTTCAACATCTCCCAATTCAAGATGTTCATCGTGCTTTCCTTAATAAGACAAACTGTTTGTCTCTGGTCTTCTTAATTGGTCCTGAATACTTACGCATTGACCGGTCGAGACAGGATAGCTTGGAATGGCATAGCGACATTGTAGCCGAATCCCTTTTGCCTCTGGACTCCAGGGATGGACTGGAACTGAACCATGGAAAATCCCTGAGCGTAAGGCTGGGAGATGATGCCGTAGTAGGCATCGATGTTTGTCGTTATGATGGGGGCTGAGAAAAATGTTGCTGCAAGGAAGAAAGTAGATATTTTCTAGAAATGAAATAACTCTGCCTCAACATACTGAAACCGATCCCGTTAGCTCAGTGGTCGAGTGGTGAGACATCTGCACTAGAAAGCAGGAGGGCGTGGGTTAGAGTCCCACCCGAGTGATTTTTTCCAACTTTCGCTCAGTAGGTAACACACTGTACACTGTGTACATACGTCGGTGAAAGGCAAAAAACCTAATTTGATTTACATCACTCCAATGCAAAATTCCATCTTAGGAAATAATTTATGCTTATTCATTTTTTATTGAATGTCTGATTTCACTGACTTATCAAAAGTTTCGGTCATTTTAGTTGCCCTTAATTCTGGCCCCAACTTGTTTTTTTTTACAAAACAGAAAAGTCAGGAGCCTGAAGCCAAAAGCAAGGACTTGTATAGAATATCCAAAAGTAATTATCCACACATCATACGACAGTGATTATTACCAAAGTTGATAGTTTTTAAACAGTGCCTTCCTTTAACTCTAACATTCCCAAATCCTCCAAAATCCTCAAAAACGGAGGATTTTGGAGGAATGAGACTACATGCATATGGCAAAAATGTGCAGACCTTTCTGGAGTTTTGAGGCCTTTAGCTGGACCTTGTGTTGTTTATGATCAGCTGAGCATAAATTTAGGCCTGGATTGTATGTGAAATCTGAAATCCTCAGCACTGCTCCAGGATGTCATCACTGGCTCTGCCTCAACATATTGCCAGTGATTGCTGGAGGATTTTGTAGGATTGAGGCAGAGATCACCCCTCCATACCAAGGACCACACTCAAGAAATATAGGAGGATTTTGGAGGATCGAGGCTGTATGCAATTTTATGGAGGCAGTTGAAGGATTTTGCAGGATTGAGGTTGCATCCTAGCAAAAAGGCCTTGGGAGTGATAGGGATAAGGTTATTAAAACATTGAGGACAACAAGTTAAATATTATAAGATGGAATTTTGCGTCGGGGTGATATAAATCAAATTTTAGGTTTTGCCCTTCACCGACGTTTAAACACTGTATACTCAGTGTGTAACCTCCCGAGTGAAAGTTGGAAAAAAACTTTTTCCCCAACTTTCACTCGGGAGGTAACACACTGAGTATACAGTGTTTAAACGTCGGTGAAGGGCAAAACCTTTAATTTGAAGTTAAATATTCCTGACATGTGATGATATCGCACTGTTGGTTCTCATACAGTGCCCTCTGAGCCAAAGTTATAACCAAGGCCAAGATTTGGCAACTTCCTTACTAAAAAAATAAATGCAGCATTTGTTTACAAGTACATGAAGCCAGTAAGTAGAAAACTCACCTTGGGTTCTCAGTGTAGCCTCAACATTGACAAAACAGTACTGCAGTGGACTACCTGCGTACGGCACGGGGTCGTTTGGGACGCCGCTATGAGCGCCCACACGCACGCCTTGCTGGGTATACCCGCCCGGAGTACTCAAATTGGACTGCGATTGCTCGTTGCCCATTCTGGACGTTAGCTCAGCCGAGGTCTCTTGATCAAAGACTAGTGAGGAAATAAGCACAGGAAAACAAAAAACAAAAAGTTTGAATACTAATTACTAGAAATTTAGCATTTGTTCCAAAACCAATGATAGGTGTTCGGGCATGGGATGTTTTGTACATCCCATGGGATGTACCTACCATCCCATGCCCGAACACCTATCGTTTGTTTTGGTACAGTTGTTTATATTCAAAATTTGTAATTCAACGTCAATGTTGTACATTTACTTACAAATTTACTCTGAGTTTGACGACCACATCGTTTTGGTTTACTTCGGGAAAAAAATCCTTCTGCATTTGATAAATTTCAGTATAAATTTGATTTATCCATAAAAGCTTTTCCCTGTTTGAAAATGTGCAAATTCATGATTGACTTAGTTCAGAGAGGATACATCATTGGGAAAAATGTTGCAAGCTAACGTCACTTTTTCTTCATCATCTCAATGAAGGTCAGTCACTGCAAAAATGATGATAAGACATAAATCTGGGACTGACAAACATGTCCAATTTTGTTAGGAAATACTTAGAAAATTGTCTTGACTCTCCATAGACTTTGTACACAATCGCGGAAGTGGCGTCAGGTTGCAACATTTTTTTCCACAGCATCTTTGGGGAACCCACTAGCCGTGTTCTGTATCTAGTCTGCATCTGTATACTAGTTAGGTGCATGGGAGGAAAAGCCCAGAAAGTGTTCTGAGGAAAACCCACGGAATCAGGTAGGGACTGAAAATCCAATCCACATATTGCCCCAGGTGGGATTCGAACCCGGGTCACAGCGGTGGAAGGCGAGGAAAGCTAGTACCGCTACGCCTGACTAGTAAAAATGAAGGAAAACATGGCATAAACATGTCACATGTGTATTTGAGATACCAAAAGAACTTCCTTTCCACAATGTCACAATGTCAGTTACATTTGACTCGACTGAACTTGCAAGAACCTGGCAAAAACCTGCCAAACGAACCACGCGGCCACGCCCCTTTCGAAGGTTCCAACTGCACTGGCTCACTCACGGAGCTTTCTCAGTCTGCTTGTGACGGTCGACGGTCGAGTCAATCAAGACCGTCTGACCGTATCGGCGTACGGATAAGTGTTCAAAATTGTTGTTTCGATAATTAAAACAACTCACCTCAACTTGGGTAAAATGAAGTCGTCGGGTAAAAAGAGAAAACGTTTTAACAGCACTTATTATGTCATTATCCATTCGTCATTCCACCTTCGTCAGTTTCCATTCTCCCAGTGTGCAAAATCCTCCGTACCCGTACCGTTTGTTTACATGCATATAGTCGGGCAACCAGCACCAACTACGACTAGTTTAATTAAAGGTAGGCAGGGAACTATGCACACATCTGCGCTATTTTTTTTTACGAGGACGCCCTCTATATATAGCGCTTTGCTGATGGAAAAATTGACTCATCGGAAAGTATATTGACATGAAGATATACGCTGTTATCAATTCTATACCCATATCTCCACAAACTTATTTGTTCTTGTCGTAAATGTAACACGTTTTTGTCTCGTTTTTTTTTATGGACTTTAGTAACAATTACGCCCTCAACGATAAAAATGGCAAGTATAACGGAGTCAATTGAAGGACATCCGCTCGTACCCGGCAAAAGGGTTTGCACTCATAACTTCGTTTGCATGACGATTTCGATGCAAACTAAATCCCCCCCCCCCTGCGAGGCAACCTTTTTTTATGTAGTGGTTTAATTAATGATGAAACAGAAGACAGAGGCGGCGGAACGCTTTTCACACTGGGCCTGGGGGCATCACCAAAAAGGGGCACTTGCTCAGAAGACAAGGCAGCTTCAGTCGGTGAGAAAGAAGAGAAAATTGTTAAACTATTTTCGTTACATTGCAAGGAATATGTTAATTCCCGGAACAATTTACTAACACCACTGAACACTTTGTAAAAATATTTGCGTTAAATTCGTTTGAAATCTTATTCCTTACTAACAAAATTACAATGTAGGCCTATTCCTGAAATAGTCTCAATATGGCCGTATTGTTCTCAAATAAGTTATTTTTTTCACTTGACCTTTTGTTGTTTTTGTGGTCAGTTCAGTCACCATTTATTCGCGTGAGGAGCACTGTTATTTTTTTACATGCCAGTTTTCGAGGGAGCACAGTTTTAACGTTGCGAGCGGCACACTAATTGTGCTTTCGAGGGGCAGTTTCCATCTCGATAAGTTATCGCAAGAGGAACACTATTGTTTTTAATGGCCAATTTTCCATCCGGAGGGGAACAATGTTCCATCCGGAGGGGAACAATGTTATTATTACGAGAGGGGTATTTGTGCTTTCGAGGGATAGTTTTCCCATCTCGAGAAGGTTCACAATCTTGTTCATGTGCGAGGGGTATTGTTTTTAAGGGGCACTTTCGCATTACAAGAGAGGAGACAGTTTTGAAGCGCAATCATAATGCTTTCATGTATGCGTTTGAGGGGTAGGTTTTTTTTTTTTTTTTGCTTTCATGTCGAGGGGGCACTTTTGTTGGCCTGCATGGGCCTGGGAAGATCCGCCCCCGGTTCCGTCGCCCCCGACAAGACATTGGTCAGTCGTTTAGAGTAGGCCCGGATGTTAAAGTTCGGATGTGAGTTTGTGGCCTTGGACAGGACAGGACACACTGCTGCAATGTCTCACCATCCACCAAAGCATGGATGAATCTGTATTATCGCTTTGCAGCCACCCGTGACAGGCGTTTACTTAGGGAATAAAATGTATTGCTTGGTCGGTTTTAAACACTCTGTTTAAGACCGGTTGGAGTCTGGATGCTGATCATAATACCCGAGCTGAAGGCGCACGAACGTCTATTCATGGAAACAATTCCGTAACAAACATGAACACTCAAAAAATCAGCAAGACAGGTAGTCAGGGTCGATTTCAATGTCTTAACAATGAATTACGATACATGATAAAGGTTATTTTGATCGATCATTAGTTTGGTTTTCTTTGATCATGCCGCCTATATATTAGTTCTGTTTCAGCAAATATTGCATAATATCATATTATTCTTTGTATAACATCTAAGTCTCGATATTTACAATAACTGTAAAGACTCTTTCGAAATATTGGCAGAATGCCGATATCCCTTTGAACGATTGACAATGAAAATAATGAAATACACTTTAAATTGACAAAAATAATTGATTGTATTATGCAAAGAAGAAAAGTGAAATCTCAATTTTAAGTGTATTAGCCCATTTTGCAAATGTTGGTAAAAATGTACATAGGCTACAACTCTGTGATTACTTGGGCTTTCTACATCCAATATCTCAAATTCTTGTTATTGGATAGTGCGTTGCGGTGCCCGGCAGCGGGGAAGGACATAATGAGCGTTCTGACGCAAAAAATCATTTTCAAGAAAATTGCATTGAAAGGTTCTGTTGTTCCCTCACAGCTATTATGAATCCAATGTTCTCACACGCGCGTATCATAAATCGTACGAATTTGAAATTTGCCACACGTATGAATCATAAGTTTTAGAACAACACTTGTATTAATTTCTGACGAAAATGTTTAACTTCATTAAAATAGAGGCAGTTTTCTGCATATGCCCTTTTGCTGGGAACATTTTGGTGGTTACGCGTTCGCGCACAAGGGCATATCGCATAATGCCTTTCTGCCGGACATACATGAAAAATGACATAATAAAGTAACATCAATCATCTACACAATACGGTAACATCAATGTCTAAACTGCAACTGCAGTGAATCCAGAACTCTGCCGCTCGCTTGGTATCGAGAGCTAAGAAGAGTGAACTTATAGAAGAGCTATAGAAAAGTGAACATATAACACCTGTGCTGAAAAATCTGCACTGGTTTGCCAGTACAGTCTCGCATCCATTATTATAAGGTCATTCTCATCATCTTCAAAGCTATCCGTGGTCTATGTCCAGCCTTCATCTCAGAACTACTTGTACCTCATCAAGGCCCCTAAGATTGTCTTCCCAGCATCTTCTCACCATGAACCCCGAAAAAAAAAGAACTATGGTGAAATGGCATTTGCATGTGGGGGCCCTAGACTTTGGAATTCTCTCCCACTGTCACTGCGATCAATAACTGACCTGGAATTGTTTAAGACCAGCCTTAAAACACATTAATTACTTGAAACGTTGTTTTCCTTAGCCATAAATTTGTTAATGAATTGTAAAGCGCATTGCAAACTCCGACGGTCCTGAAATGCGCTATACAAGAATGTGTTATGATTATCAAAAATAAATACCGAAGCTATAATACATAAAATACAATTAACTTAAGCACGCACATTTAAGAGTATGACTTTGTACACTAATATGTATTGACCTCATGTAGGACTTGCCTATATCTTCATTTGCATGTATTTTGTTCTAATTTGCCTTACATTATTGCACATTATATCGCATTTGCTTTTATCAATTAAAAATCCCCGTTTTTGATGCAACTGTTCGTTTTTGTTACAAAATATTTTTGTTCAATTATTTTTTGTTTGTTCTAAAGTCCCACAGACAATTAATTTTTTTTTGTCTAGCCCCAATAAAGAAAACCTAGCTGCTACATTCCAGCATGGGGATATTTCTCGCATTTTCCCATGCTAAGCCGACACCGGGGGTACATCCGACCCGCTCCCCGTGGATGAAGTCACGGACGAGGATGACGGCGACGATGTCGATGATGTCGCCACGGAAGAAGGCGACGTGGCTTCGGTACCGAGACTGCTGTATGACGGTGGCGGGGGAAGGTACGCGTAAGCCGGGTAGACCGGTCCGCCGGGGCCGCCCGGACCGTACATCGCATAGTTGGGGGCCGGTCCGTTGAAGTAGGCTTGGGGAGGGTAAGCTGGTTGACCCGAGGCGTCTGTGAAACCAACAAAAAAGGGTCAAATTTGAGGTGAAAGAATGACTATGACAGGACAAGCCTATAGTAGTAATGGTCCCAAGCGATTTTTCTTTGCATCTTGTGTAATAGGCCATGATTTACCCCATGATAATAGACCATTATCATGTTGCGGCCATCTTGATTTTTCCCATTCAAATCAACGTAACCAAAGCGAGGCTGGAAGGAAAAATAGTCTGGTTCATATTTGCACAAAAAACTTATCATTCAGTACTGTTATTGGATACTGGGAACATGACTGAAATGGTGACAGAATGATAAAGGTCAACAGAACTGCCCAGCTCTCTTTACCAGCCAACAACCAGGCTAATAAGTTACAGTGACGGGGAGTCAGTCAGTCAGTCAGTACAATCAGTCAGTTATCAGTTAGACAGGAGCAAAAAAAGGACACAAGGCGGAAAAAATGTCGGCAAGTTTTTGTCATCAATTATCGTACCCGTAGTTGTCACCATGACGTTCCTTGGGTGTGGATGCATTAGCCCGTCTGCTCCCAGCCTACCCACCATCGCCCCTTGGCCATGCATGACTCGCACCGTGTTGCCCCCATGGTGCCCGGGATGGTGCGGCGGGTGGATCGCTGCTACCTGCACGCCACGTAGCTGGCGCTTGCGGTAGTAAGCCCCGCTAGCGAGAGAGCAGATGAAGATGCCGAAACACAGGCAGAACCTTGTGGGAAACAAGAAACATGTTATTAATTTTGAAATTCCTGATTTGTTCCCTTGTAATAGTTATACTCCGTGAGCTTGCGAGAAATTTTCGCAACATAATCTCCACAACATAAGCAGATCCGAAGAGGGTCACAGAATTAATATGGCAATCAGACTTTGTGTAAAAGGTATTATGTAGACACTTGCTCGGTGCTGGGTCGGATTCGAACCCACGACCTTCTGGTTACCAGTGTAGATGTCTTACCACTGGACTATCGAACTTGACAATGTCGGCTGACCGGTTCAATATCAAGTAAACATGGTAAGAACTGTGACAATGTACTCGTAATAAGGGATAGTTTGGCCTTGCGGTTCGAGTTTCAGACTCATGCTCAGAAGGTCCGCGGTTCGAATCCAGCTAATGGTCACAACAGTCTGTCCTTGGGCAAGCCACTTCATCCCGCTTGCCTCTCTGCACCCAGCCTGGTACCGATGTAGCGTTAATATCCCACTCCATGAAATGTGGACTCATTGGTTGTATTGCGCATGCGTAAGTACGAGAAAAAATGATACTATTTTCAGGATCACATATGGGAGAGTGACCTGTCACGTGCGAGGGATTAACCAATAAAAAGGAGAAAGGGGTCCGATTTTCATAGGAGTCGTATCTTCATATGACACCGGCTTTAGCTGGGAGTAACCTTCGTGTACCGGTATATCCCATCCACACGGGAACAGAACGTTACAACTACAACTTCAAGCCAAGAAAACTAGAGATTCACACCGGCCCGATCAGCCAAGTGACTATAGTCGCGAAAAGGATTTTACATTTACTTAAATCGGGCCGTTTTAACTTACCAGAAATACCACAGGTCATAGACACTGTAGTAGTAATCATTGGAGAAACAGCATGAGCTTCTTCCGCAGCAATATTTGTTATTCGGGCATCTATCGGCACAGAAGAATGTCAGTAATTAGTTTTGCATTTTGGATAAACTCCGAATTTTGGCTCAAATTTATATTAGGTGCAAATATGAAAGGAAGGGAAAGTAGGTACTTATTAAAATCAAGCTGAATTTTGGATCCGTTCGTGAGCAGTATACATCTAATGACATGCCAACTGCATGCCGGGCTGGTATTGTTTGCCAGTGTGCTAAGCATCATGGAAATGTTTTGTGCTAAATGGTTTCGTGAAATTGTTCCCTTTCTCGTATTTCTGCACATGTAAACGTAAAATAAGAGGATTTTCGGTCTGCGACTTTTCCCATCCTGCTTACAATTATTATCCACCCCTCCAAATTAACACAACACCTTGTATTCTGCCACGCCCCTCATATTTCCCCTCAGATTTGAACTTGGATATCTCGACTCATGAGTTATTCATAATTTGGTTTCTCATGCTTTTTCCATGTCGCATTCAACTCGTGATTCAATACAGGCCTGGGTGTACCAAAAAAGCGGATATCCTTAAATTTTAAAAACTATTTAACATGGGTATTCCATCTTATAGTATTCCAGCATATTAATTATTCTCTTTGTATAATCAGTGAAAATACCATGGAAATCCGTTCATGCAAACCAGCGATCTAACAGATTTATACAAGGCTATGGGTTTTAATGGGACTTACACAGTTAACTTAATTTACATCAGAGTGAAAAGGCCTATGATAATCGGTCGCGGCACTGTTACATGGCCTTATTATAACCTGTTAGATCTCTGGTTTGCATGAACGGATTTCCATGGCATTTTCAACTATTATACACAAGAGTATAATTAATAAGCTCCATCAAGATGAAATACTCATTTTAAGTAGTTTTTGAGAAATTAAAGGATATCTGCTTGCACAACCTTTTGGGACACCCACGGTTTAGCAAACTCACGTGTAGTAGATGAGTTCTCCATACTGACTGTAAGAACACTGCTTCGCCACGACTGCCTGTTTTAGAAAGCATTATTGAAACCCATGAAATAACAGTTTTGATTAGAATATTCCATTTTTCACAGATTTGGAATAATTGAAATATCGCGAGTACTATATATGAGTGACGAAATATATATATATATTTTTTATCAAAACAGTAATATGACGAAAATGGAAAGGTTGGAATAGGCCGGATGATAATGTAAGATGCAGGTCGTACGTACCGTCAAAGACTGCAGAAATGTCGCACCGGCGAGAACTGACGAAGCGATAATCGGATTCATCCCGATATGATGACAAAACCTCCGCAAATTCTGTTATTTAGTGCTTGGATTTTTTTGACAAAGGATGGTGGAAACAACTGTCAAAATACGATCAACGAACCATCGTTTCTGAGGCGCCGAGAGGTGTGGAAAATGGCGACAAAATAAATCGTAATCATTCCCTGTCATAAACGATGATGCTGCACGCACGACGTGCACGAAGCATAATTAACGGCGCGCTGCGTCCGCAGGCTGTGATTGGTCCAACGGATAATTATGTTAATTTATTCACTCAATCCTCCGCATGCAAGGTTGTCGTAGCGTTTGGCAGGTTGCGTATAATAATATGCAACGGGCCTAATTAGGACAGCCATCGGTGGATGATGAGAATAATACTAATTACGTTTACTGTTTCTGTGGCAACGGGTTGATGCTGGGGGGGGGGGGGACGACGATGATGTACGGACAGGCCGTCTTCGTGAATAAATTATGAAACTGTCTGTGCGCAAAATGATCATCTTTGGATAGAATTTTCTCACAAAAGTCACTGGTTAACCCCCAAAAACTGAACAGAAAATTAAAGATGAAATAAGCATTAATTTTGAGTTGTGGGTATTTTTCCTGAATTTCGGAGGTGGGCGTATTTTTCACCCGAGTCTATAGCAGTTTATTTACTGGTCTGCAAACTTAAAGTCATACAATTCTAGTAAAAAAAAAATTAATGAAAAATCAACATAAAAAAATGTTCTTCCCTTGCCCCCCTAAAGTGGATTTCTTTCCACTCACTGCTTTTTGTTTTTGTTTTGATAAGAAAATACACAAAACAGGTTAAGTCCACTCATGCGCACTTAATTCTTTCAGCATGCGCATGTCAAAATATTAATGCAACTGACACAAACGAATCTGTGTCCTTGGGTCGGTCTGTCTACATGTACATGTCTTTTTTCCCCTTTTGATCATTGTTCTTGTGTAAAAATTGCACTCTTGCTGTTAGAAAACCTCTCGATAAACTCCTTTTTTCTTTTAGCTTTTTTTAAGGCAATCCTGCAGCCCTGCGTAAGGTACAATTAAATTGGTTTTGTATTTTAGTTTGTTGAACCTTAGCCCTTTGTAGTTTGTCCGTTTGACCATTTCCGATGTGGTTTGCAATTTTAATGTTATGACTCTTAATAATTATTACAGTCGTGTATTTTGATGTTGCCTGAAACATTATTAACAAATAGCCAATAAATAAATCAGTTTGAGTGGGGGACTGCGTTGACTACGCACACATACAGTTGTGAATATCGACTTTCAAGCGGCACATAAAGAGAAACACTGCATGCTGGGTAAAACTTTGATCAATAAAGATGGCGGACGGTATACAAGGGTTTATCGATCGGGGTGATCGATTCTGGTGATCTTCTAAAAATGCATCACATAATGATCCCAACGAGAGAGGGGACATCAGAAATCTTCGTGAAGTGATGGGAATAGTTCTAATTTGCAAAGAATCTTCGGGGGAAAAAAACCAAGAAAAGTGTGTCCCAATGAATATATAATGTTGGCGAGTATTTTGGATTAAAAGACTGGTGATCGGGCATGGATTCTCACTTGGGCTGGACAGTGTTAGTGGCCTGTTTTTGTCAACTGAGCTTTAAGGTAGGAGATAATTTTTGGAAAGTTGTACTTCGTCACAGATTGAGATCCAGAGGGATGTACTTCTTACAAAGCACCCTGTTCTATAGATTTCTGCTTATCTTTCTTGAAACCCCTTTTTTGTTGTTGTTGTGTTTTTTTTTTATAAAAGAGGGTTACAAGTAGGCCTATGTACCGTTCCTTGTTACAAATAAGTCACACCTCGCAATGTGACATAAATAACTACGGTACAATAAGAAACTTATATTTTCGTGGGTTGCAACATCTAAAAAAAAAACCCACGAATTGTATAACTTTGGTTACCGTAGCGTGCCATGGAAACCATAAAAGCGAAGTGATTAACGTTAGATGCGAACCGTCCCTAATGCCATCTGCACTCTAATTGGATGAAGGAGTCACTCTCTCCGTGTTAATGACAGGAAGCATATATCGGCTATAATGAAATGCAGGCAAACCTACGTTCTGTTGTTGATAATGTTTTGACCTCAATTATGAAATGTTTTCCCGGTTTTTTTTCATTTCTCGTCAAGGGTTGCTACGCAACGGTTTACTGCGAAGATCAGAACGGTATTATTCAGTACAGGTATAATTTGTTGGTGATCAGAATCTCCTAAATGTCACTGTTTCCTTGATTTGTTGGAGTTAATAACAATTAAAGACGAAATTATTTTCAAGTAATCAGTCAAATTCCTTGTTAAAATACACCCCACCCCACCCCCACGAAAAAAAAAAACTTCTCCACGACCCATAATCAAGTCTAACACATATGTCAAATAACAACTGAGTTACGCATTACAACGAGGCTAATTTAAACAAGTGACCGACAAGATTGTTTTCAGTAATTTATTTATTTCTGGTAATGAAACCAATGATTCCTCAAAAGCACCCTAGGCACTGTAACTCGCAGGCGTGAAGAACGCGAGAAGACAATGAGAAGAAATCACTGTTTTAGAGGTGGAAGGACTACAGAAGAACATTATGGGGAAAACCCACGGAACCAGGTGGGGACTGAAAACCAAACCCACATGTGGACCAGGGTAGGAATCGAACCACCCGGGTCACAGCGGTGGAAGTCAAGTACATGCAGTAACCACTGCGCCAACTCAACTCCATCGATCAAAAATGGATATTATAAAAACTATAAATATTCTTCTTTTGCACTTGAACAGTTGCGAGGATACTGCCTACTGCTGTGGTATTGACGAGTGCTGTCTGCTTGACAATGGCTTCAATATACTCACGTTGTGGTACTTTTGGTAAGAAACTGAACATGGCATTGTCACAGCGCCCTCAACAGAACACACTTCCGTTGAGGGCGCTGTGACACTGCTATGTGGTGGCGATAGGGATAATTGAGGAGAACTTTTAATTTTATGTTTGTGTGGAAATTGTGACAGGCAGTCTAACATTTGCCAGTGAAGCAAATAAAATACAGTAACACCAAAATTAAAATAACAGCGCCCCTGGAATCATGGGCAAAACTATTTGAGAGATTTCAAGCAAAAGGTGATAAAAATAAAACGAATTTATTAAAGAACAAAATGTGTTAATGAGTTTGCCAATTGGAAGAGCTTTATAACGATTTGATTTAAACTATAAGTAGAAATGCTTTGAATTAGTGGCCTGATTTGCTTGATGTAAAACATGACTTCTTTCTTACCATATTGAAAACTATTTTTTTCCTCTCGAAACACAGGGCATCCATCGGCCTCGGTTTCATCATCTGCATAATGGTCAGCAGGATGTTCTGCAAATCCAAACGTCACAGTCACGTGCAGGACATCAGCAGGCGGACCAATCACGATCAAGCAAATGACGTGCCAAGACTACTACAGCCGCAGCTACAGACTCCGCTCCAGCCGCTGCCACGGCCGCAGCCGGTATCACAGACGCAGCCACAGCAGGTGGTCGTCATACCAGTCGTTTGTAAGTCTCATCCCTGCAAGTACATGTATCGGTTGAAAAATTAGAAAATTGAAATGGCTATTTGGGTGTTCTTTAGTGTAGGGTAAAACTTTTGAACTAAGTTGTAAAATTTGTTTCTTTTGTATAGACAACCAGCCTCCTATGAGGGTACCGCAAGAGGGCGTCTTCAACATATCCGGTTCCGTCCTCCCTATGGTTCCCATGGGAACGACCGCACATCCCGGCATGCATCAGCAGCAAGGACGCCGCCGCGTCATGATGATGCATCCACGTCCCCCTCCGGGAGCAGAACAGCGGCAGGCTGGTGCGGGGGAGTTTGGGAGGCCTCTTGGGCCGGGATATCAACAGCCGCCGCCGGCGTACGCGCCATTACCGCCCGGTTACGTGCCACCAAATTGATTTTTTGACACTAGAAAAACTGTTCTTGAGAAGACCGATTTAACGTCTCTAATCCTGTAAAAAAAAAAAAAATGAGAGTTGTGTATGTAAAAACTTGAATTCGAATTTAGACAATTATTTAATTATTTATGATGATTGCTGTGGAGTTTACCATTATTATACTTGGATTATTATAGGGCAAGTTCGCACAAGCACTATTGTTGACTAAAGTAACTCTGTTAGGCAACGGTGGTTGACGCTAGTCGACTATTCGGAACCTATTGCATTAAGCCCATAGGTTCGACCCATGTTGGTATAAAACGGTCAACCGCATTCGTGACGATTAGACAGAAATTCTACAAAATTTATTGTGTGGTTTGCCATATTATATTCTCTGGAAAAATAAATCAGTGGAATGTCACCGTTGATGAAACACCATTGCCCATATTGATTGCTCACTAAAACTGGCTCGCGGTTTCCAACTAGAGCGCCCCCATGGGTCGAAAAGGTGCAAGCTAAAATGATCTTCCATGTTTAAAATCAAACGAAGTCAAGAACAGAACGACATGCATGAATAAAGCCTTGAGTTCTAGTTGTGACGTCTCATAATAATTTTATTTTTGAACACAGAGAAACCCCGTTTTAACATTTTAAACGGGACACATTATGACACTGACTTGAATTTGCATTCAGGAACCATGCACAAAGAATATAGCGCCCCCAATCCACGCTCTGTAAAAGTGGGTCACATGTGTTGCGTTTAACGAGAGGATGTGTTTTACAATATAGATGCAAAATAGCAAAACTGGGCTTTCGCGAACGCTACTTTGCCTCATAATTATCAATTACGTGGAGTCCTTGCCTGAAAGTTGGACAAGCCATGGACATTCTTTGAAGAAAAAAACCCCCAGAGATCCGGAATTAAGAAAAAAGTATGCCTATTGAGAATTTTCGATTTTAATGAGCGCCCTGTTCAGTGAAAACAACAGGAAGTCTCCCCTATTTGTTTGCCATTGATTTCAGCATTGCGAGAATATTTTCCATCTCTGAAATTGTAATGACTTCCGTAGTGAAATAAGCTATGTCGTGTCGAGTGACATTAGGGGCTCCGCGGACCCCCCGCGAACTTCCCTCTCGGGGCAAATCAGGCATCGCAATTATCCGCAGTTTTTCGATTTCTCCATGAAACTAAGTAGCCTCGAGAGGGCCTAATTAGCGAAAAACCTTCAAAGAAATGAGGTATTAGCTTCCCGAGCATTCGGTTTCTCAAAGAAAAAAAAAGAGAATCGAAACCATATTACACATAGAGTCTCCTCAAAGCTCGTATCTTATATCCAAGTTAATTATGTGTACAAGCAAGGTCGCCTGCGTGTTTTGGTGCAGTATATTTCGAAAAGTACGGCAAAGGCTTTTTTCATCAAATTTCAATTTTTTCTCGTGGTGGTTCGAGTGCTCTTCAAACCGAAAACAGCGCTGGCCCATCATGGATGTCCGCTAATTGGCAACAGGGGAAAAGTAAGGGTTTGACTACGCATGTTTACATTGTCCTTAGTGACCGTGTTAAGTTGCTTACGGCCGAAACTCGCTTCGAAAAGGTCTCCCTTTAACAAAGATTTATCAAAATTTGAGAATTCCGCTTGAAGACTTCATGGATAGTGGTAGTAGTGGTTGTTGAAGTGTATTTAATTTTTTTTGTTGGTATAGTAAGTATTGTGGGGTGCAAAACGCTTGGTGGCGCTACACACGTTTATATTATCTGGACTGGTTCCCGCCCTTTAAATGTTCAATAAATACATCAAAGTTATAACGGAACCGGGAGCCAGTTCAAAGTATTGCCGAAAGTAACGCTTTGAGAAAGTTAAAAATTATAATGTCGGTTTTTTTCTTATACGATTTTTGTTTTATAAGAGTTTTTGAATCTCCATAATATAGACAAGTGATTATCTCCATAATATAGACAAGGCGTTGGCTTCAGAAGAAAACGTTATTGTAAAGAAAGAAAAATAACAGAATTGCGATTTACATAACCTTTACAAGACCTTCATTAATATCATCAGAATCTAAACACCGAAGCATCGAAGACGACCTCGCACTATAGCCTCAGCCGCTTGGCCAAACAGATAGACCTATCACAGTCGCATCTCGTGCGAACATAAATAAAAGGTGCCTTTGTACGCGCTTTTATGATCACGGCAAGATTGTTGGCGCGTATAGGTACGGGGAAATGACACTTGATACGGCGCGGGAAAGTTGCAAGACTTGCTAAAAGAAAATGCTCTCGGAGATCACGGCGTAGGATCCGGATTCAGGAAGAATAACATAGCTGGCTGAACGAGGAACTAATGAAACGCCCGGAGGCGGAAAATCAAATGAAGCTGTCGGGGGAAAGACGGGTTGATGACATGCCGTAATTATTATGTCTGTGTAATGTACTACATCATTATTCTACTCTTTCTCAATTGATCTCTCTGACCCTATAGTAGGCGTGCAGGCGCCACGAAATACTCCCAGGTTTGCACCGGCCCATTGAGAGACGGTTCAGAAATACACTACGTACGGTATCCCCCCCCCCCCCCAAAAAGTGTCTGTCTTACTTTTTTTTGGCAATAACTACAAAAGCATGAGGTCAATTTTGAAAATGTTTGGTTGTGCAGATACTCCTAAACCTTGGCCTCAACCCCTACGAGTTTCATTTAATTTCAGTCAAGCATCACTACACAGTTGTCAATTGATCACAACAACATTTTTGGACCATGTGACCAAGTTCCCTGCCTTGTTCAATTTCAGTACTGTGTTAAGTAAGCTGGGTAATATCCTTCATGTTGTGAAAAGGGCTGCGGCTAGGATTGGAATGATTTGCCTGGCTATCAGTCATCATGGCAAGACCTCAGTTCAATGCTTAAGGGCAAATGATTCCAATCCTAAACCACATGAGCCTTTTTTCACAACATGCAGGATTTTATACAGCTTACATAAAACAGCACTGAAATTGATTAAGGCATGGAACTTGGTCGCAGTGTCCAAAAATGTTCTTGTGATCAACTGACAATTGTGCAGTGATGCGAGACTGAAATTAAATGAAACTCATAGGGGTTGAGGCCAAGGCTTAGGCATCTGCACAACCAAAATATTCCAAATTTGACCTCATGGTTTTATAGTTATATTAAAAAAGGCAGACGCTTTTGGGAGAGAAAGAGACACGTTCACACCTTTATCCATTTTGGTACAAGTTCAACTTGTTACAAAACCTACAAGTTCAGGTTTACTCTGACTTTGTTATGTTTGACCGTGTTACTTTCTGGATCCGGAGTACTCTATCTAGACAGCAAAAACAACCTGTTATGATATTTAAATACTAAGTTTCACAATGGCTTGTTTCTCGAGTCAAACAGAGTTTGTCTAACAATAATATACTGGTACGTCTGTGATACTTTATGCGCGATTACGTTTTAAATCCTCTTCCGTTCATGCCGCCATACCGTTTAAAACACGCGTTATAAACTACTGCCGTATAACTATTACTGTATGCTGCGTGTGCAATGCAAACTACACATCGAATTCACTTTCCCTATGAAAACCACACAAAAGAGCACACATCAGCTTCGATTGAAAACATAAACATGCATCCCTTTTGAAATGATGATTGGCGTTTCAGGTTATGAAAAACCCATCGATTTTTTCCCCTCTGCAGTCCGATTTCTTTTCAATCGCAGTATCGGTTTGACCTCGTTTGTTTATTTTTATACTGCGCTGTCATTGACACTGACACAGAATAATCTTTTCAGAGACAAAATTAAGCCTTTTCAGACCATGTCTGGATCGGATTTTTTTTTTATAAGACGAATTAATCGTGGCAGGTTTAGAATAAGCTCCTGTCTTTGTTTTTAATGATGACAAAAGTCAGATTATGGTCGCTTTTTGTTATGAAGGATTGAGGTTTTCATCGATCAGTTTTTGAATTTTATTTAGTGGAATCTGTGATTCCAATCTCATTTCTGTCCCTGAGAAAATGTTTCAATAATTAAATTCACCCAAAAATATGAGATAAACGTCACCGAAATAGATTTTTTTTTATTACTGGTACACAAGTGCAACACCATTTAGTATAGAAAAATATTGACTTTAGTCTTTACTTCCTGCCCACACATTAGCCTTCAATGAATAGTTCATGCACAAAGTATCAAGTTTATTCCAGGTACCATTAGTGCTGTGGCCTCGTGGTTAAGGGTACTGATTCGTGGTCTGCGGGTAAAGCTGCAGGTTGTGGGTTCGAGTCCAGGCGGGGTCATGGTGCGTGTGCACTTGGGCAAGGCACTTTGTCACTCATTGCTTCTCTCCACCCAGGAGTAAATGGGTACCTGTGAGGGCAGAGATGGTTATTGTGATTGAATTAGCTACCTTGCGCCTAACAGGCTGCATCGAGCTGTATACTCCCCAGGGAGCTGAGATGGTATTTGGAATGTTTCATGTGCCCAATGAGCAGGGGTAATAATGATGTAGCGCCTTGAGCACCAGTCCTGGTGGATACGTGCGCTTTATAAATAGCCAATATTATTATTATTATTATTTTTATTATAAACGAATGTGACTTTCCATGTAAACCTTTATATTATTGTTTATGCATTTTATTCATACGCAAACGTGTCATACACGTTTAACTTTAGAATTATGCTCCATGCATAATACGATAATATTATGTCAGGAATGAAGTAGAGTATGTCATAAAAACAACAACAGACCAATCAAAAGCGTCCATTTTCAAAAAAAAGAAACTCTGGTTTGAAATCATGTATGGCTCCCAATCTTATTCCAAGGGATTCTCAGCGCAGCCACAAGCACAGAACCAGAGCCTTGTTTACACTCACATTTTAAAGACAGCCGAAGGAATTAGATTAGTAGATTTTCACAACATAGGCACAGTTCATACGGTGAAAAACAGAACATAGACTACGCAGCCCTGGGGCGCTGGTATACCGGCAAAGTCTTTCAAAACCAGGACGAGTGCACGACAACTCTCTGGCGACATTTCGGTGAATCTCGGCGCCAGAATGAACTACACGCTCGATTAGATGGGTCTCATAACCTACCTAAAACCCCCGGCTTTACAGTAAACTGTGTCAACTTCCATGTGTGATTAGGGGAAAGGTCTCCCGATTTGGCCAGCACGGTCCCTTCGGCATATGCTGTCAGGAGATGTCGTTACAAAGGTGACGGAAGGGGAATGGTTATGGTTAGGGGGTGGTTTAGCAAAAGATTAACCTTAACTCCAAAGACACAAAAA